ATTCTACTTCAGAATTTCATGCTATTTATTACTAGTGCTTCTTCAAACCTCTCACTTCTCATTCAATTTATATCAGGTAGCTGTAGATTTGTTAATTTGGTTGCCAATATTAAATTCAAATAACTAAGAAAAGATAAATAAAATGCAGCTAGCCCCTGTTACTCAATTGTTATCAAAAGAGCAATGGGAGCTGCTTATTGACTCCTTTTTTCTACTTGGCACCAGCTATGCTCTGAATAGCCAAACTTGTAGTAATAATGAAAGTTATTCATTTTCAGACAATAGGGCCAGTAATAGAATGCTTACAAGCTAAGCACAGGGAATAGTGAACATGTGTTCTAGACAATGCCCAGAAATTGATCTAATGGGCAAGCCTTGAACAACAGCTAACATTTTTGTGAGTAGTGGAAAAAAGATAAATTTTTAGAGTCAAACTTGGTTTTGTAACTTAACTAGTAGCATGATATTGAACATGTAACTGAACAAGTAAAGTCCAGGTCTCAATTTTCTTAACTATAAAATGAAGATAATAGTACTTAGCATTTGGATTGTTGTAGAATTAAATATAACATGTGCAATTCCTCCAACTTTGTGTCTTTCCCATTACATTGCCAGCAGCAAGTGGTATTTTTACATGCTATTATTATTTAATTTTCTCAAGGCCAGGACAATATTGATTATTGGGGCCCCATTAATTTAATAAAATTTATTTATGAGGGGAAAAACATATGAATAAACACCAAAATTTTTAGATCCAGAAAAATCTCATTATCCCATTAAATAACCCCAGCAGGGACAAGAATGAAAAAAGCATTATTAGAATTGAAACCTAAAGTATTATTGCTGGTACTCCCTACTCTCATTGTTAAATAGCCAGTGAAGATTCTGCTGTCCTATCCATACACGTGGAGCATTTGATTCCCCATCTCTTTAGTTCTGCGCATTTACAATGACCTAACCCTGCTGTGAGCACTAGCCCATTTTCTACAGTCAGATTTGCAATGGAAACAACTTGGACAGTGATGAGAATGAAACTCTAATAGAGGATGGGGCCCACTAGAAAGAGCAACTGAGCAGAGGAACTGGAATAGGCAGAAAAATTCAAAGAGCTGAGCAGATTAGGTTGAAAGAATTGAAAGGGAAAGCTAAAATAAAAACAAGCCAATGCAGAAATAACTGAAGAACACTAAATATAATGAGGGAACTAGAAAAAAACAATAATGCTATCTTGTGATTTTTGATCTTCTAGAGGCAACAGGTAATGAGGGCTTTGGGGAGTGTGGATGGTAGAGATACAGAAAGCCTAGCTGGGAAAGTAGAGACAATAGGGTTTGTAGCTCAGGCTGTATTTACTAGGATGAAATAACCTGGATCCAGTCCAGCGGTGGGAGAGTAAGAATTGCTTTATTATTTCATTTCCAATTATCTCTTGCCCTTCTCTTCACCATAGCAGGCAAAGTAGTTGAAATGTTGGCTGGGATCTGTGCCATAGTGAAGATACTGACTATCAAATGCCAGCTCTGCTTGATTCTGAGGTTCAAACTTACAGACAACATCATTAAACCATAACAACTTCCATACAGAAGAGACTTGCCCTATAAGTTGTTCCAGAAAATTTACCAAAAATAATTGAGAAACATAAGAAAAATGAGTGTTATAATAGCCCAAGGGGCAAGGAACACTGAGTTTGTCTCAAAATAAACTCCAGAACAAAAGAAACATAAGCCTTCTATGCTTGATGGAAGCTATCCCAGTACTTAGGGTTTCTTCCTTTTGTCCTTCACAATGTCCCTTTGCACATTTTCTCCTCTTGATAAACCTCAGACCTGACCTGTATCCATCATACCTTCCAGCCGGTGACCTTGTTTTCTTTTCAAAAGAAATGGAAGTCACCAGACAACTTCCTTGACTTCTGCCCACCAAAATGACAAATCTGGCTTGCTCATCATTTCCCTTTTCTGATACTGCACTAAGAGAGGTGGCCTCTACCTTCTCCAAGGCCAATCCCTCCATGGGTGCGTGAGTTCATCACTCCTGTCCTCCCCAGAATTTTACTACATAGATGAACCTCTCACTGTCCTGTGCCTTGTTCTTCCCTTTCTGCTAACTTCTAGCACTTCAGCATTCTCAGCTCTCAGCTCAGAAGTCTCTCACAGGTATTTGGAAGCTTACTCAAAATTTCCTTTGGAGATCTCAGAAGTCTCTAGCTCAATACGGCCAAAAGTGAACTCATCTTTTGTCTCTCATGGACTTGTTCCCCCTCGCCTTCCCTCAATGTCTCAATCTCAGGGAAATGGCACCATACTTAACCGAGTGTTTAGCTAAAAACCCTGGAATTCTCTTCAATTCTGCTCACTCCTCACAGCCAGTGCATGAGCAAATCTTGTTGGCTCTATCTTCAAAGTATATTCTGTGAGCCTCCACTTCTCTCCATCCCCTTTGCCATATGCTGGCTTAGACAACCATTTGCTGTTGCTTAGATTGTGGTAATTGACTATTAAATAGTTCCCAGCCTTCAGTCTACACTTTTTGCTACGGTCTCTATGCTGTAGCTGAATGCAAAAGTGATTGTGCCTTTTTCCTACTTACCTCTAAAACAATGGTTTCCCATTGCCGTTCAAATAAAACCTGTACTCCTTCATAGCTTAAGCTGCTGCTCATGAGCTACTGCTATGGTACAACTCTTTAGTCTTGTTTCTTGCCACATCCAACACTCAGTGATATCAAATGTCTCTCTGTTTCTCTTTATTGTCTTGCTCACCTGTTCTTTGTCTGACTAAAACTTCTCTGGCTCCTAGACTAAACTACTGCTCCAGCAATGCTGTATGGGTCCGTGGTCTGTTAGGAACACATTGCTCAGCAGAAAGTGAGTGGCAGTGAATTAGCAAAGCTTAATCTGTATTGAGACCTGCTTCCCATGGGGGGCCTTTTCACTTGAGCTCCACCTCTTGTCAGATCAGCTGCAGTATTAGATCTTCATAGGAACACGGACCCTAGTGTAAGCTGCACATTCAAGGGGGTCTAGGTTGTGTGCTCCCTATGAGAATGGTGCCGGATGATTTAAGGTGGAGCTGAGACAGTCAGGCTGATGCTGGGGAATGTAATTATTATGTATTGCAAACATATGCTAATAAGAATCTAGGCCCCCCTCTCCTGGTACATGGAAAAATTATCTTCCACGAAACCAGTCCCTGGTGCCAAACAGGTTGTACCTTGCTGTTTTGGAGGATATTTTAATATTTTTTTCTCTAATTCTTTGCTGTAGTATAAAAGCAAGAATTACGTCTGTCTTGGTCACTGACCTATCCTTCCCTTCTCCCGCCCCAACACCCGCTAGCAGGCACTCTCATAACTTGCTTAGCATCTGCTATGCAGTACATTCTCAGTAAGAATTGTATTATCATTTCTCTTACTGAATGCAAGACTTACAGGTTTGTGATAATCACCACTTGTTTTCACAAAGGATTTAGGCATTTAGAGAAACTTCTTTGTCTCTATACAAAGGTCATGTGAATGTATAGACATAGATGTGGTTGCTTATGGAGAAAGATAATATCTACTATGACAGGAGAAGGGCCTTCAAGGGTTTTTGCTTGTTTATTGTGGAACTAGAGATAATGGAATAGACAGGATAGTCTTTGGAATTTCTAACATGGCAAACACCATTTCAAAACTACTTGAATACTTACTAGATATAGTATTTCACCCTATAAATCTTACAAACCTAAAGCCAGGAGAAACCTTCACTGTCATTTTAGAATGATTCCTAGACACCATCTGGGAACTTGGTCTGCAACCTTGCTGACAGTCTTTACTGTCTTTCCTGGAGACCCTTCAGGAATGGGAATCCTTTGCTGATGAGGCCACCTGCCTGCTATGAAATGTTCTAGTGCCATAGTATTTTTTTCTTCCATTTCCCTTCCCCTTCATTAACTGACCATTTCTCTTTCTGACATTTCTACAAATGGGTCCTGCACTTCAGCTTAAATCTGCATCCTAAAAGGTTTTAAATTTCTGAAGGAAAGACGTAGTGCAGGCAAAGGCAGATACCTTCTTTCTGAGTACCCTAAGTTTTCTGGCCCAGGGTGGACACCCTTTCTCTTACTTTACTAATTCTTTAACCAATCTAGTAAAGCAAACATTAACAGCATTTTACTCAGATTCAGGAGAAACTTTCTGCATATGGCTCTCTAGTGTTGAAACCCATTTTTTTTTTTTTTAAGTTAAAGGCTCTGAGGCAAGAACCTGGGATGTTAATTTATCTCTGGTAATGAACGCTTGCGTGGAATTGGCTCCTTTTTATTGTTTCTAAATTTTGGAGTAAAATTACGATTATCCTAGATAACCTCAGAGAGTTTTTGACAATACAGTCTTCAAAAACCATATTAAGGAAAGTCTTCTTACTGAATGAACATATCATGACCTTTGAAATCAGACTCCAACCCATCCCCCCCAAAACCCTATTGCTCCTTTAAGATGAGAACTTCTGTCTTAGAAATAATTCAAACTATCAACACAATAGCAAGTCCTAAACCATCAGGAGACTAAACAGCCTGAATTAAAATAACATTGACATTCATGTTGAAGCAGGAAGGAGTAATTTTTGGTCAAAGTTTGATGATTTCTACAACAAACTGCTTTAAGGATTTACTAACATTCCAAAGTCATTGTTTGAACATTCTTAATGAGTAATTCACTGAGATAAGTGTATTTGAACTAAAATAGTATTTTATACTATATACATAAAACTTGGTTTTGCTACATTTGTGGGCTTTTAAAAGGCTTAAATTAAAAACAACTAATTGATTTAAAATATCATGTCACCAAACAACTATTTTAAATATGTTCCCTTTTAAATAGTTTTTTGGGTAAAGTTTAGACAAAGTCTCAAGCACCACATATACCTCAAGGAATACCTTTAGGAGTACTGTAACACAATGTAGATTTTTTTTTGGTTTCTGTTATTTAATTCTTTTTTTTTTTCTTTGTTCTTTTTTCAGGTTTTCCAAAGTACTTATAATTCAAGTTGAACAAAATAACGCTGTGGATTTTTTCCTTAATGCACTTCCCAATGATGATAACTGCCCTGAAAATCCTTTCATACTTGGAAATCTATTTATGTAAAAACAACAGGTAAATATTTTCTTTAAAAAGCTATTGTATGTATAGTAAAAGAAACATCCCTAAAAAATAAATATGCCTACAAAAAATGAAAAGAAATGTGCCATGGCATTAGCAAGAATTATTTTGGATGATGAGGTTATGGGTAACAACATTTTTCCTTTGATTTTCCTGACTGTCCTATTTTCAATGATAGAGGTATGTTACTTTTACAATACAGAAGCTTTATTTTTTCAAAGGTGGTTGTAGACACAATAATGTCCACATGTGTGAAATGTGATCTCAGGTAAATGTGCAGGAGACAGAATGCTAAGCAGAGACATGGAGGCGTCCGCTGATTACAGAAACGGATGGTAACCGGATAGCCAGGCCCACCTGATGCCTACCTCACTCATAGCTCTGCAGCTCGCAAATACAGCTCCAAATATAGTGGCAAGCCTTTGGTACAGGTTATGTGTAACCCCTGGGGGGAGGTCCACACCTTCCCAAACAACTCCGGGAATTATTTTGGTTTTGACCTGAAAAGCCAGTTTAGTTAATCTAGGCTAGTTGTTTTAAGGAATACATTTACTGTTAAGTGCATAACACAGTAAAAAAAAAAATCTGTCTACTTACAAAACTAATCAGACTTGTTAGTTGTTCAATTTTAACTTTTAAGCATACTGACAGAAATTACATTAGGGAAATGCTGGCCCAAATGTTTGGAAGATGTGTTAGGTTTGTACTATGACTGTAGACAGATCCTACTAAGTCTAAAGTAATGGGCAGAAATTGTCATCCTAGTGATATTTACTTAAAGATGACTTGAATTAGTTATCTAGCAAACAAACAAAAAACTCTCTTAAAAATTTATGGACTTGATATGGTTGTGCACGCCTGTAATTCCAGCACTCAGGAGGTTGAGGTGGGAGGATTGCTACACTTTCAAGGCCAGCCTGGACTACATAGTGAGACTCTGTCTTAAAAGCTCAAAAAACAAAAAAAACTAAATAAATAAAATTTGAAAAGGTCCAGGAATGTAGCTCAGTGGAAGCTACTGCCCAAATATATCCAAAGTAAAGACAAGCTTTGGACAAATTTTATTTTATTCATTTCTTCAACCATCAATCTATTCATTTATTAATTTAGCAAATATTTTTGAGAATATTTTTATGAGAGGCATAATCAAGGATGTTCAGAAATGTATCAGAGGACAAACGCAAAAATCTCTGATCATGGAGCTCATGTTTACAGCTCTAAGGAGATTTAAAAAATAAATAAATAAGATACATAGTAAGTCAGATGGTGATAAGTGTTGTGAAGAAAATAAATGCAGGAAGGGAGGTAGGACATGCCACATGGGAGGCAGGTGTCGGGAGAGAGATGGTATTTTAATTAGGGTGGTCAGGAAGGGTCGTACTGTAGCATAACTTTGTTAAGGGACATACGATAGTTGCTTCCAGATGACTCTAATAATCCCCTTTCAGCAATAATTTGAGCATCAAAGCTAGGAGAACATTGATCCAGTGGTTCTGCTATTTTTATTGCATACTGGAAATAAGATCTTGTAAGATAGTGTAAGATCTTTATCTCTAAGAATGGTACCTTTGGCACAAAAAGCATGGATCTTATACAGAATGAATTGAGTATAAATGTTTTTTTCTAGTTATATGCTTGGTGTACAGACTCCTCAAATATCACTCTTTGGTAGTCCCACTGAATGAATATAACCATGAACATGGACATTGGTTGCTTTTCCCCATTCATTCGTTTGCTTTCTGAAGCTGAGTGCAAGCCCATTGAAGGTATGGCTGGGACAACAATTTGTTCATCTTGACAGCCTCAATGCCAAATCTAGTGTCTGGAATATGCCAGATGCTCTGTGATTGCCAGTGGAATAAACAAAATTTGAGAGCAAATTGGATGCTGACTTGAAGCACTCATGGGATGACTCTGATTGCCTCCCGTACCCACTTAATTGTCTGAAGTGAATAAATGCTTGCAGCATGATGACCCCTCTGCCTTTCCAAGTCCCATATGGAACCAGCACCAAGGATTTACTCTGTAAAATAAATCAGTGGTGTCTTCCCAGTAGGGCAATTTCAGTGTAAGTGACGAGAAGATTCTCCTTCTGGTCCCATTTTCCTGTGACAGTGCTGTCCAACACAAATGCTGTCGTTCTTATCTCCACATTTTCCTTCTACCCCTGTCATAGATCATCTAGATTATATCCCTTTTCTGAGATGCTAGGGAAGAATGATGTTCTTCACACTAGATTTGGGAGCAAACTTAGGACAGTTTATATACACACTTGGGGAGTCATCAGAGGGAGAAAGGGAACCTAGAAACTTTATTTAATAATGAAGTCCTGCTTCTAGGCCTTAATTATTGTGTGTTTTTTGGATAAATTGCCAAATCTCTGTGAATCTTACAGGCTTATCACCAGGAACAATAATTACTACCTCACAGCATGGTAAGAAGGTGAAGTTGGATAATATATATAAAGCATTTGTTACAGTGCCTAGGTCATAATGGAGTCATTCAATAAACTATTGTTAGTATTTTCACTACTACTAATGAATTAGTAAATTAGTGAATTGAAGCAGATAGAAATTTTATTTGCAATTGTTGAACATTTATATAATCAGTGAGGATAATTCGTATTAATATATTTGCATTTAAAAGTATATCTCTCTATGTACATTTATAATAACCAAGTAACATTTATAGCATTCTTGATTGCCTTAGTCCTTAAGCAAGTGAAGAAAGTGTAAGATCTTGTTTTAAAAACACTTCAGAGCCAAGTGTGATGGCACAGGCCTGTGGTCCCAGATACCTGGGAAGCTAAGACAGGAGGATCACAAGTTCCAGGCCAGTCTGGGCAACTTGGCAAGACCTTGCCTCAAACAGAAAAGTGGTTGAGGATGTAGCTCAGTGGTAGAGCACTTGGCTAGCATATATATAAGGCCCTGGGTTCAACCCCCAGTAATGTAGAAGCAAATAAAACATTTTGCTATGAAACAGGACAGTATCTAACAGTGACATTTCTGTGATCTCAAAATGCCAGAGATGCTCAGGGACAGTGTAGCAAGCACTTTGGCCTTCATGCTGGTTTGCATGATCTCATTCACTTTGATACTTTTCTCAGAAAAGAGATAAGTGATGGAAGTCATTTTTTTTTCAGGGTAGGAAAGCAGGGCTTTAATGGAGTCTGAACTGTTCCAATAACTTCTTTCTTATTTATTTAGAATTTTCTCGCAGTACAACTAAGAACAGAGGCTACAACTAGGCAGGAGGAGCACTGCCTCTCTCTACTGTGGAGATGGTCTCCCTGGTGCTGAAAATGTCTCCAATGTTTTGACTGTGGCTCAGCAGCTATGGAGTCCTGCAGCCTTGGGAAAGCAGCCACGTTAGATGAACTGCTGAGCACTTGCATTGAGATGTTTGGTATGAGTCTTTTTCTCTTGTCATCACTTTTGTCTATTTTGATTCTATTGTTTCCCTCACATGGGATACAGGTTGCTTGTGGTACAGAATTCAGTGTCTGTATAATGATATTTAAGGCCTTTTGGGTCTAGCCCAATCTTTCTCTCTAGTTTCACTACCCTCTACATTTCTTTCTTCTGACTGCCCACAGTTTGGACTCCAGCCGAACTCTCTACTTACTGTATCTGCAACATTCCCTGCTCCTCTTTCCATGCCTTTCTTATAACCCTGTCTTTGAAATTCTGCTTCCAGGCTCATCTCATTTGTCATCTCAGATGTTCGTAATGCCATTCCTACTGACCCCTGTTAGAAATGCTGCTGGATTTTTCCACTTTCTCACATCCCAGTGTAACTCTTACAGCATGTGGTCTGTACTGCTGTGATTGTTGCTTGGTCTTCTGACATACACAGTTTGGCTAGTAAAATCTACTGCATTCCATATTGTATACATAGTGAAAGTCTTACTAAATGAAAGGCTTTACAGCTCTGTGCTTTTTATGTTGTTTATGTATTGACCCCAGCATTGGATTATTCTTGTACAAATAGAGTCACACGAGACTTATTTTTTAATTGATTACCACAAGAATCTGAGCAGAGAAGGTTTTTCAGACAATAGACAGGATGATCAGTTAAATTTGAATATTTGGGCAACAAAGGCTGGGGATTTAGCTCAGTGGTTCCATCACTTGCCTCACAAGCACAAGGACTCAAGTTCGATCCCTGGTACCAAAAAAAAAAAACAAAATTGGTAAACAACATTTTTCATGTATATCCTAAATAATGCCTAGGCCACACTGAAATAATTAATCACTGTTTACCTTAAATTAAATTTACGTGGGTGTCCTGTATTTTTATTGTTAAATCTGTCAACTGTAAGCCAGGAGAAGGGTGAGACTCACCCAGTTTAACCTTGCGAGGAAGTATCAGTAGAAGTAGATAGTAAACAATAATTGGGTTTATGAAGAAGTTTGGATGTTATTTTTCTAGTGATATTAGAAAAATAGAAAACTAGTACTGTTATCTCCTCACTCCTTATTTTATTTTTAACAGATGACAATGGAGAGCTGAATAATAGTTATTTGCCAAGAATTGTTCTACTGATGCACCGGTGGTATTTATCCTCCACTGAATTGGCAGAAAAACTTCTCTGCATATATCTTTTCAACTACTGTGTAATTTTTACAATCACAAATCAAGTTCTGCATTTCGATATAAAGTCTACCCAAAGCCAGTAAATTAAGATGAATAAACAGGCTTCAGTTTGTTTTCCAGCTGTTTTGAGGTTATACCGCTGTCTAGATGAAACAGCTGGGTGATGGACTAAATAGCTGACTAGCCACTCGACATCTTGGCTCTATTTGCAAATAGTCACTAAGATGTGAAATGAAACAGAAGCTGTGACTGAGTGTTACTAACTTGTCTTAAACATTTTGACTGTTACGACAATGAAAGAATGTTTAACACTGATTGAAGACCTGATTTATTCCCTCTGTGATGACAAAATCCTGAGCATAGAGGACACAGCTGAGAAATATAGAGATGCCAGCCAGAATAATTTGCTCTGGCTTAGGTACAAGCATCAACTTAGATTTTACATTTTCCCTTGCTGGCAAGATCCCATGAACATTCTAGTAGGTTTATTGTAATTTGTTGTTTGGTACTGAAATACAAACAAAACACATAGATCTACACAGAGCTGGAATGTAGGCGTGGTGGTAAGAGTACTGGCTTAGCATCAGCAAGGCCCTGGGTTTGATCCCTGGTGTTGAAGAAAAATCCGTGTAGCTGGAAACCCCATTCTGTAATGAGAGCTTTCAGCAATCCACCACCTTTGTACATAATGCAGACTTAAAAAGTGTTTGAAGGCAATATAGCTGGTAATGCTGTCTCACGGGAGGATTTATTCCCTGAAGTTTCTTGCTTACTGTGCAGTCTGGAATGTTGGTTCCTGAAGTTTCTGCCTTTGCCAAGTCCAGAGGGCCTCATACATGAATGAGAAGCACCCGAAAAGTAGTGAGTATTGTTAGGACCTGCCAGGGCTTCCAGGGCCAAGCAGGATTCCACCAGTTAAGTCCAAGCCTCACCACTTCCTGCATCTTCCTCCACCTACTCCCCAGCCTCAGAGCAGAGGGGAATGTTAGAGGGGGTAAAGATATATTCACCCTAAACCGAAATCCTTGGAAATGAGCAAGCTCCTAGTCCCCAAGAACCCAAGGATTCCTAGCTTACTTGGTATCCACTGTGCCTGACATGTAGTAGGAGCTCAATTTTGCTTACAAAAAAATCAATAAATAGACTTAATAGATGACATAACCTGTACAGTAAAATATCTGAAAGTGATATTTTCAAATAATGAAAAGTTAGAGTACTTAATAAGGCACCAAATCCTAAATTTAAAATCTTCTTGGCTAAAATAGAGCTTCTATGTACTATTAATTTTAATTATTTATACTTGGTAGTATATTTGTAATTATAGCTGGCAGTTATTGGTTGGTAAGTAGTCAGGAAGGTAAAACAAACTTTCTAAGTGGCTCCTCTTTCAGATCAAAAATATACTCCAGAACATTACCAAGTTTTAACCACTTTGTGCTGGAGTAGTCAAAGCCCATTTCTTTCCCCATTTGAGGGCTATATATACATGTTGATGATCCCTTACCCAAAGTGCTTAGGACCAGAGAGTTTCAGATTTTGGATTTTAAAAAAATTTCAGAATTCACCAGGCATGGTGGTGCACACCTGTAATTCTAGCACTCTGGAGGCTAAGGGAGGGGGATTGCCATGAGTTTGAGGCCAATCTGGGTTTCATAGTGAGTTCAAGGCCAGCCTGAACTACATAGCAAGACCCTGTCTCAAAAAAACAAACAAAAACCATTTAGAATATTTGCATGTATCTATTGAGAAATCTTAAGGATGGGACCCAAATGTAAACAAAAAAATTCTTTTATGTTTCATATACAACTTGTACACATAGTCTGAAGACAATTTATATGACATTTTTAGTGCACATGCATTTTAAGTGTGACCTGTCACATAAGGTCAGGTGTGGAATTTTCTACCTGTGGCCTTGTCAGTGCTCAAGAAGTTTGGAATTTAGCTTATTTTGGATTTGGGATATTAGGATGAGAGATGCTCAGCCTATAACCCAAATGTCCCTAGTATGGCCCTTTTTGTGAGTTGAAGAAACAGCTGTGGGTGTGTGGAAAGGCAAAAAGGTGCAAGCACTTTTTCTTTAACTAGAGTACGTATCAAAATGCCAGTGGAGAAAGCTGCAATGAGTTTCGATTAAAGATCTGCTGTTTCATAAGGTAAATATATTTATAATTTTAATCTCTCTGTGGTTTCTGTTTCTGAGTTTTTTGCAATTTCCTTTTTCTCTCAGCGGTACACCTATTTTGACAATAGAATCTACTCAGACCCCCTTTTTACTGCCTATTAAAATTGGCCCTCCTTTCTTCCTGGGGATAGTGGAGTAGAATTTACCTTGTGGACTACAGATCAAGTAGTGGTGAATACAATTAGAGAATGGAACCAGATTTTACAGAGGGTGAATTCAATTTTTATTTTATTTTATTATTTTTTTTTGGTACTGGGGATCAAACTCGGCTCCTTGCGCTTGTGCAGCAGGCAGCAAAACTATTGAGCTAAATCCCCAGCCCTGAATTCAATTTTTAAAAACCCCCTCATCATGGACATTCTCCCTGTGAATTGGGGGAAGGATTTCTTCCCAGCCGTTGTTCTACAGAGAGTCAGAAAGAGGCTCAGGGTTGCAGTGCTGAATCTTGGTTCTTGACTGGAGGAGAACATAGAGACTCTTTGATGGTTGTGGAAAGTAGTCTGTATGACAGTTTCCATGGAAGCCCAACTTGAAGTCCTCCAGCTGTCAAATGTACTGTATTTCTTTCAGGTACTGGATTCTGAAGTTTCCTGCCGAGTTTAATTTGGATCTTGGTTTGATTCGTATGACTGAGGAATTCCGGGAAGTAGCTAGTCAACTGGGATACGAAAAACACGTCAGCCTCATCGACATATCCAGCATGTAAGATGGTGCAAGTGTCTTTCAAACTTGATGGGTCTACAGCTCTGGGACAGGAGTAGTGATGACCCCATTTGACTGAGTCTGTATGGGTCCAGAGCTATGGTTTGGTTCATGGAGAATAGCTTTGTTGCAATGCACACAGACGTACTGGATACAACTCTCTCCAAGCTATAGTTTGTTTGTAAAATGGGAAAGTGCTTTTCCCATGGGATTATGACAAGCATCCAAAAAGCACATAAGGTAACATGGGGAAGCATTTGGCACATAATAGATTCTCAGTATTTAGTTACTGAATGGGAATCTAGTTAGTGTTTCCTGTGCCTTGGGTGCTCCGTGTGTGGTCTTCACATCAGCAACACTGGCACCTCTGGGGTTTTCATTAGAAATGCAAAATCTTGGGCCCCATCTGCTGAACTAGAATCTGTACTTTTTTTTTTTCTGTCACTGGGAATTGAATCCAGGACCTTCCCACTGAGGTACATCCCCCACTTTTTTTCTTTTTCTTTTCCTTAATTTTGAGACAGGGTCTTACTAAATTGCCCAGGCTGTGCTTGAACTTACAATCCTCTTGCCTCAGCCTCCTAGGGGGCTGGGATTACCAGCCTGCACCCCCATACCTGGCTGGAATCTGCATGTTAATAAAGATCCCTAGGTGACTTATACACTTGTTCAAGTTTGAGAAGCCTTGTACCTTGGTACTTCTGAGATTGGCCTGAGGTTATCCGAATGTTGACCAAGTAGTGCCATGGACATGTTTGTTCGGTTACAAGAACACAGTGTCAGGCTTATTTCATATGGACTAAGTAACTTAACACTGAGAAAACTATTTAATGATCCTATGTATGGTTATCCATCTTGCAAATGGATGCTCTTGTGTCTGAGGCATTCCTACCACATCTTCTTTACCAGAAGTACTTCTTCAAGAGTGATCAATGGTGACTGATCAAGGAATCAACCGGGGTGGTTAAGATGTACATCATTCAGGCTCATTCCTAGTAAATCAGAATCTCTGGCAGTGCAGTCCAGGCCTCTGTCTTTGTAACCTTTTTTCCAGATAATTCATATTATGCTAAAGTGTGAGAAACACAGCTTTTAGTGGTTTCCATGCACCTTAAATCACCATCTGTGTGCTGCTAAACTTCCAAATGTATATACCTCTCCTTTATGATCCAGATCTTGCTTGGCCATAAGGAAAAGCAAGCAGGAGACTCTGGATGAGTTAGAGCAAACCTACTGTGCCTGGAAAAACAACTCAAAGTTTATGTTCTATTGGCAATGGGTCTGTGGTTTTCTCGTCATACACGAAGGGCAGGGCGTGTACAGTTCTGGTGGTTTTGTTTTGTTTTTGGTGCCAGGGATCAAACTCGGGATCTTGCACTTGGGAGGCAGGCGGCGGCACCACTGAGATAAATCCCTGGCCCTGTATTCTGAATAAGCTCCCGGAAGTAGGCCAAGCATTGCAGGGTCAGCAGGTTAATAACTTCCATCGAGTGCAGTGGGTTTCAGCAGACTGACCAGGCTCACTCTTCTTTTCTAGTCCTTCCTATGACTGGATGAGAAGAGTCACACAGAGGAAAAAAGTATCCAAGAAGGGCAAGGCCTGTCTGCTGTTTGACCATCTGGAGCCCATTGAATTGGCAGAGCACCTCACTTTTCTGGAGCATAAATCTTTTAGAAGGATCTCAGTAAGGAACTTAACATTCATTCTTCCAAGGATAACAACCTCCATGCCAACTTTCCCAAGAGCCATATTTTCATGCTCTGAAGTGTTGGCAGCCCCTGTCACTGGGTTCTGCTGGAAAAGTGCCCTTAATTCACAGGAACAATCCCTTTTAACCAAAGATAAACATTATCCTGTCTTTATGTTATGACTCCAGAGCTATATTTCTGTTGCCTTTTTCAATGTCTTCTTTCATAGGATTAAAGCATGATTTTTCTAAATACTCAGTGGAGATTTAACCACTGAGTGGCTTGTGCCATTGGCTTCTCCCAAGTTTTCCCAGGCCCTTTATTTGGAGGGAAAAAAATTTAGGTTGAGATCTGTATAAATGCCTAATTATGGGTATAGGTAGAAAATAGAAATTCTATGTTTTAAGGAGAATCTTAACACCAGACTGTCTTTCTCAGTGATGGAGACCCTGAATTAAACTTTCTTTCCTACTCATGTTGATAGGGCTTTGTCCCTTCTCTGCATCCCCTTTCTTCCTTGGCTGTGTAGTCTCTTCTTTGTTGCCTTCTTTTTGTTATCTACTCATTCTGATCATCTTTCCACACTGGTTGATAAGCAGCCCTCCGGGCCGGGGATTTAGCTCAGTGGTTTTGTCGCCTGCTGCGCAAGTGCAAGGACCCGAGTTCGATCCCCGGTACCAAAAATCCCCCCCCAAAAAACCAAAAAAAAAACAACTAAAAAGATAAACAGCCATCTGCTTTGCCTTGTCCCATCAAGGTCTGGGGAAGTCACTCCTCTTCCTTCTCCAAGGTACCAGAAACTGAATGACATTATTGCTTGTGAAGAGCCCCAACTTGATGAGAAGAAGCATGAATTTCTAAGACTGGGGTTTCACTAAGTAACCCTGCTGGGAAATGGCTTTAATGATTCCCCAGAGCAGGGCATGGGAGGAAATCCCTGCATAAGACAGGAGGTTCATACATACGTTATGATTTCCTTGATAAACTTTCTGAGAATGTGTACATTCTGCTAAAGAGGTGCCTTACTTTGACTGATACTTTTCTTATCTTTTTTTTGAAACAACTTTATAAAATACTTCTGCCTTGAAGTTGTTATATTTATATTCATTTATTCATTTCCTGTTCTTTACTATGTTCCACTGTATCTTAAACTTTTTTGACCATTGGAATCACTGGTAGTGTATTAAAAATGAAATTTCTTAGAGATACTAATCCCTTATGTCTTGGTGTTCCTCAGAATCAGCATTTTGACAAATGACCAAAGTAAATCTTATGATTCAGTAAATTTGGGATGCTCTGAAATATGACCTTTGGTCTTACCCTTTCCATCCTCTCTCCAACACTGTGATAATGTGTTTGTGTGTACGTGGGAGTGATGTTGGAAATGCAGCAAAATAGCCTGTTAAAGGTACCTGTACAGTCAACTTGTAGGATATCATTATAAATGGAATGAAATAAATTGTTTTGTTGTTATGAAACACTGTCTCTTCTATGCAGCATTTGAATTTCTGATTGTGCAAAAGCTCCACTATAATTCAGAATCTCTGAATCTTTCTTTACTAGTTCACTGATTATCAAAGCTATGTCATCCATGGCTGCTTGGAGAATAACCCAACCTTGGAGAGATCTATTGCCTTATTTAATGGAATCTCTAAGTGGGTCCAGTTGATGGTCCTTAGCAAACCAACCCCTCAGCAAAGGGCAGAAGTCATCACGAAGTTTATCAATGTCGCAAAGGTACGTCTGGTAATCAGACTGGGGTTCTTGGATTCAGGATGTTCTTTCAATCTATTGAGAAAAATCTTTGTGGAAATTTGATGTTCACAATATAAGGACAATGAACAATTAAACTACTCATGGGTAACTAATGAACAAATCACACTTTTCTTATGTAAGAAGATTGCTTTTAAAAGGCAGTACTTAACATTTAATGTAGATGTTTGTCTGCCAAATAATTGATATGTTTTTCTAAAGGATTCTATTTGTACTTCATTTTAATTCAATATGGTTTTTCACTGTCTCTGTTGTTTAAATTGTGTGTGCATTCTCCTGTGCCTCAGAAAGTTCAGAATAATTTTAAAATCCCTACAAATTATGAACGTAACATTTTTGTTGCAGAAGCTCCTTCAGCTGAAAAATTTTAACACCTTGATGGCGGTGGTGGGAGGCCTTAGTCACAGTTCCATTTCACGCCTCAAAGAGACCCATTCCCATCTTTCTTCAGAGGTTACAAAGGTATAGTGGCTTTTGATTTTAATTACAAGAAAACATTTGTAAATTTTTCCAGTGTAATATACCTCTAACAAATGTCACTCAGGATGGGAAAGTTTTCCTCTTAAATCAATGGTAGGTTGCCCGTGGGGAACTGAATAGAAAGGGAACAGCCATACCAGCTGAGTCCACCCAGAAAAGCATGTCAGAGGTGGTACTGCACTCAACAAATATTTATCTGGTGCTTACTATGTGCTAGGCACTAGGATACACATGGAGGATGCCAGATGAGTAAGACAGAAATCACTCTTACTCTACCTTCCTGGAAATAGCCATTGAATGCCCACTCTATTTATGACACTGCACTTGATACAGCAGAAGATACAAAGAAAGGGAAAGACATGGGTCTTGTATAGTAATACTCAGCTTTATGGTTGAGGTGTCAGAAATACATACGGTTTTCTGCCATATTTTTTTCCAGACCCTATTCGTAATTTTTTCCCTTATTGAGCAAAAAGGAGCATTTTATCCTTACAAAAGAATCCCTTGTAAGACTGTACTTTGCTCTATCAATACGGTCATGTTCAGTTTTAAGTTAAAAGAGAAAAAAATCTAAATTGATTAAGTAATAAGGAAATATATTTTCTAACATACCTGGAAGTCCAGAGGCAGAGCAGATTTTAGGCATGGTCTAATGAGAGGCCTAGCTCAGTTCCTCTGCCTTTTCAGGATTTTATGTGGTTTTGTTTTGGGTTTGTTTGCTTGCTGCCTTGGACCATTTTCCCTCCTGATTGGGCTGTTTGTAGCAATGGCAAACTTATACCCCCTTGCTCATGAAAGCTGGAGATAGGGAAGGCTTCTCACTTCAACCCTGTCTGCATGGGATTAAAGCCCTTCTTTTTAGAAAGATTGGGCCATCTCAAGTCCTATGTCCACTATGGACTAATGACAGTTGCCAGGGAAGTACAGTGTACTGATAGGTTTGATCTTGTGTTGCTGAACCAATGACAAACCAGAGGAATGGAACTTTTACAAATTAGAACCCATTCTTGGTCATGTTTGGGGAAAGAGAAGACTGATTAAAATTAGGATTTGTTAGGAAGGTCTGGTTGTTGTTAAACAACCACCAATGACTTCTCCATATAAGGAAGAGGAAGTAAACCACAGAAGTGCTATTACTTGAGCTCAATTTTGCACTCATTCCAAGTACAATGGGACTCATTATGTGTTTTCTTTTCTTTTCACTTTGTACTAAATTCCAACTAAAAAGCAAAACAAATTTAAATATCATAAAGAATGAGACTCTGACAGGGGCTCGTAGAAGCTTGGAATTATCAGTGTATCTTTAAAATTTATTTATTTGAACTCCTTTTTCTTATAGAAAAGGAAATTGAGATCCAAAAAGTGAATTGATTTGCTGAACTTCACCCTTCTAGTTAGTGCAGAGGCCAAAAAACCACGTCTTATCTCACATCTTAGTGCAACTTTTCCTACTCTATAATGTCATAATGCCCCAGGTTCACCTTCAATTAATATCTGGAATGGAACTTTCTTGGAACAACTAGATATTTTAGTATGTTGTATGCTTAAATTTGTGGGCTGTCATATTTTCATGAATTGCAAAATGTGAAGTATACATGATGTCATTTAGCATCCCAACATCCCTAGTGGTAGGCAGCAGTGCAAGCTATTTCTGATTTTTTGCAGAATGGAACAGGCTGTCCATGTCATAGCTAGACCTTGTATACTCTTCTAACTTTGTTTTCCTTGGTTACTATTCCCCTGCATCAATGTCGGTGCAACTGATACTTCTCTAAGTAGCTGAGGAATTTCCTAGCCACACATTACAGGCCCTGGGGGTGGGCAGAAGAAGAGAAGAAGACTGTTTGCAAATTCTACTTTTCCATCTGTTCTCAGAACTGGAATGAAATGACAGAGTTGGTTTCCTCCAATGGCAATTATTGCAGCTACCGCAAGGCCTTTGCCGACTGTGATGGTTTCAAAATCCCCATCCTTGGAGTACACTTGAAAGACTTGATAGCGGTCCATGTCATTTTCCCAGACTGGATGGAGGAGAACAAAGTGAACATTGTGAAAATGCATCAGCTCTCCATTACCCTGAGTGAACTAGTCTCCCTGCAGAATGCCTCTCACCACTTAGAGCCCAACATGGATTTGATCAACCTGCTCACCGTGAGTTCCAGGGGACCACACTTGTGTTAAATAACCCTTCTGCACCTCATGTTCTAGGGAACATGGAAAGATGTATGCCAGCCATTCACTACGGGGGAAAATTAATTTATGGGTCAGTAGATGAGAAGAAATCACAAAAGATGAGGAAAAAGGAACCCCACACCTATAACCAACATGGCGTGAGCTGTACTCTTGGGGCAAATCAGTTTCCTTTTGTGTGGAGAGGCCCAGTCTCTGCCCATGCACTCTGCCTTCTGAAGTTCTCAGAGAGGCTCTTCCAAGGGCATCCTCAGCCAACTATTCACCTCCTTCTGTGTGTGCTCTGAACCTCTGCTTCTCTTTGGCCTCACTGCACTGCTTTAATCGCAGCCTGAAGTAATGCCCAGATCTCCTCTGTGGCCCCATCCCCACCATTGACCTCCCCAAGCCTCCGGGATGTAGTTCCCAGCCTGGCACTGGAGGACCCCCAGGACTGCATCTCTGACTTCCGCGCAGCCTTGTTTGTCCCCACTCTCTCCCACATCATGCTGGCCTTTGAGAAATGTTGGGCTTCGTGTACTTCTATCATGAAGCACTGTCTTCTGCTTCCTGAGCTTTGTACGTTCTTGTAAAATCCTTTCCCTCTCCATCCACATGGCTGGCTCAGATTCAGAAGTCTCCTTCTTGCTAGAGCATTCCCTGTTCCCTCCAAAGAGTAAATGTGTTGGCCTTGGCCTTTGACTGTAGGAGGTGGTGCTTTGCACTGTATTTTTTCTGTTCATATGCCGGATACCTCACATCCCTGGCACTTTCCATAGTACCTGGTGCATAGGAACTCAGTAAAGTGAATGCTGCTACATATGGGAGTGAGGCCAGACAGACAAAAGAACTTCATCTACCACTCATGCTTGTTGGCATTTCCGGCACACTGGTTTAGCTAGTCTTCAGGTCCTTGAACTCTTACATGTAGCAGGTATATGAAGGAGGACATTTCCATTGGCTCATTCTTTGTGGGGAAAAAGAAGCACCAACCACATTGTCTCACTCTTGCTTGAACAAGGGGAAACACAACTTCCTTGCTTAGGTTTATAACATTGGCATCTGAAACTTGACTGTGATACTGAATTGATTATTTTCCTTTTATGTCTGTAGAAAATAACTTCCCTTAAGTTCTGACAGCTGAGTCTCACAGGGCTGCTGTATTGGAATAGGAGTATGGCTCTGGCAATTCCACTGTGGAATTGTTTAGCAAAGAACAGACCCTCAGTGTGGGTAATAATGCAGTTGTACCGTTGTCTTAAAGCAGAAGTGTCAAACACGTACATACATAAAACACAGATCTTTGGGGGCTGAGTTTGTGTAACAAATAGGAAACACAGACATTCTCTAATGGGGTGGGTGGGGGAAAACTAACCCACAACACCCAAAACACCTGCATTTATGAATCATTTGCCATGTAAATCTGCTTCCACGAATAAGAGACCAGAGTGGCGGTCCCAGTCAGACTCCAAACCACAGGCACAGGTGCTGCCTGAAGACCAGTCCTAAGGTGGCCTGGGTTTCACCTGTGTGAGCCAGGTCTGGCTGGGTCCTTGATGTCAATCACAGAGCAGGTGCCTACCTTTGGGCAATGCCTCATCCACATGAAAGACCAGAATGGAACAGGAAAATTACTTGTGAGTTATAAACACATCAAGTAACATTATGAAAGAGATCAGATAGTTAGAGAAGTATTGAGAATTTTGAATGAAATTTCAAGGGCATAAATGGAAAACCTAAACTCCAGAAATAAAAACTAAAACACAATGACTTTTTTTGTTGTTTTTTTCAGACAAGTTCTTGCTACACAGTCTAGGCTGGCCTTGAACGTAATATGTAGCACAAGCTGTCCTCAAACTCTCAGTCCTCCTGCCTCTGCCTCCCAAGGACTAGGACTACAGACATGTGCCACCATGCCCAGCCCTAATTTCTTTTGCTGGGAAGAAAAGCAAAACAGGAAAAGGATGCCAGAACCCCCCACTCCTTCCCTCAGTCTCTTGGAGATACTGAAAAAGTGGAAGCCACCAAGTACAATTTTTATTTTAAAAAATACTTATATTAGCACTTGTTTTTGATACACAGTGATTACATTCGGCTTGGGGATTTGATACATATACATACTGCATCGTGATCATTTTTCTTCCTGGTCCCCCTGGCCTCCTCTCTCCCGCCTTCCCCAGATCCCTTCTTGTCTCTACAGAGTCTACTTCCCTGGCTTTTTAACATGGCTCATTTATTTTGCTCTTAAATTATTTATGTTTTGGGTCTCTCATATTAGAGAAACTATATATTTAACCTTTTGTGACTGACATTTCACATAGTACTGTGGTCTTGAGATCCATCTATTTTCCTACAAATAGCTCAACTTTATCCTTCTTTATGGCTGAGTGGTACTCCATAGTATATAACATCATATTTTCTTTATCCAGGCATCTGTTGATGGGCATATAGGCCACTTCCATGATTTAGCTATTATGAGTTATGCTGCTATAAACATGGGTATGCATTTATATTGGGCTTTTTCACAAAGATACTTAGGAGAGGAATTTCTATTTTTAGTTTTTTGAGGACTCCCTGTACTGATATCAATACTGAGTATATTACTTTATATTCTCACCAACAATGTAGAAGGGTCCATTTTCCCCCACAGCTTTGCCAGCATTTGTTGTGGTGGAGGTTGTTTGTTTGTTTGTTGTGACTATGCAGTTCAGGCTGGGCCTTGAACTCACTATGTAGCCCAGGTTGGTCTTGAACTCATGGCAATCCTCCTGCCTCAGCCTTCTAACTGTTGAGATTAAAGCATTTATTGCTTTTTGAGTCCTTGATAATGGTCATTCTTCCTGGAGTAAGGTGAAATCTGTGTTGTTTTAATTTGCATTTCTCTAATGGCTAAGACGCTGAATATTTTTTCATGTATTTATTGGTCATTTGTATTTCTTCTACAGAGAAGTGTCTATTTCTTTTCTTTTCTTTTTTTTTTTTGGTACCAGGGATCGAACTCAGGTCCTTGCACTTGCGCAGCAGGCAGCAAAACCACTGAGCTAAATCCCCGGCCCAGAAGTGTCCATTTCAATTGCCGAGTTTTTAATTGGATCTTCTATTTTGAGATGTCTAATTTTTTTGAGTTTTTTATATATTTTAGATATTAGTCCAAAGTGTAGTTGACAAAAAAATTTTTCCCCTTCTGTAGGTTGTCTTTTCATTATGCTGATTTCCTTTACTGAGCAGAAGCTTTTAAATTTGATATAATTCCATTTGTTGATTCTTTGTATAATTTTTTGCCAAGTACTGTAGCGCAATGTTGCCTGTCACAGTGTCGTGGCCCAGTCCTACATGGCAGGTCTTGCTTTTAGCCTTGCCTCTGCAGTGATTCAGCTTTGTCTCCATGCAAAGTAGCCCTGGCTCTGGCTTATTCCTAAGGGCTCTGTGCTTGTTTGTGGGGTCTCCTCCAGTGCTAAACTGCCATGACTCTAGAAGTAAGGACAAGGAGTGACTTGTAGTCCTGGCCCACCGGCTCTGGAGGATAGCATCATCCTGCACATGAGTCCCGGGGCATCAAGCCAATTACTCCTCAGAGCCAGAATCCTTCCTTTCTCTTCACACAAGGAGGAGTTCAGTGCACAAGGAGATGCATCCATTTTTCTTGGCTACTGAGGAGCTCACTCCTCACTGCAAGGACTGAGATGTCCACCACATGTTCCTCGGACCCCAGTATCCATTTCAGGACACACATTTGTATTCACATTAGGACCACATGATAAACTGCAGTTGCCTAAATATCCATGAGCATATCTGTAAGCACAGGATGGAAAGTGTGATTCATTTTTCTCCAAGACTCCAAGTCAGATTTTTCCTGAAGTGATTGTTTGCATCTGAACATGGCCCAAGGTGCAGTAACCAATATATGATTGATAGCCCCAAAGGATAGAATATGAGAACTCTTTAGTTAAACAAGCATTAAAGGCTACTCTGCAGTAGGCTGTCCAGCAATGTTTGCATTTTCTTTAATAATTGATGGTGGGCATACTGTAATCCCAGAAGTCTAGGAAGGCGAGGCAGGAGGATTGCAAATTTGGTCAAGCCTGGACCACTTAGTGACTTAATGAGACCCTATCTCAGAGAGAGAGAGAGAGAGAGGGAGGGAGAGAGAACGAGAGCGAGCGCGAGAGAGTGTTTCATTCAGCTCATTGTTTAGGAAGGTTTTGGTCTGTCATTTATTGGCCCCATTCCTTTTTGACCTGTGGCAACAGCAATCTTGGCAACAGCACATGGCAGAGAAAAACTGCTGATTTCTCATGGCTGGGAAGCAAATAGAGGGAGGAAGAGGAGGTGGCTGTGGCCGCACAGTTCTCTTCAAGGGTATGTCCCTGTATTCCAGAGGTCACCCACAGCCTCACCTCTTAGAACTTCCATGAGTTGCAATAGCACACTCAAGCCTTTAGGGGACATTTAAGATCCAAATTAGTTCGGTGTTGTGGTGCACACCGGTAATACCAGAACTCCAGGAGGCTGAGGCAGGAGGATTGCAAGGTCACTGGGCAATTTAGTGACTTAGCAAGACCTTGTCTCAAAGCAATAAAATTTTTTTAAAGGGCTGGGGATGTAACACACACACACACACACACACACACACACACACACACAAAGACACAAAGATCCAAACTGTAGCTGGTGGTTTGCTTTGGATGGGCGTTTTATTTCTAATGTAGGCATACCACTAGCAACTAATTTACTTTATTTCATATCTGTACAAAGTAATACTTCTCTTCCTCTTCCCTGGCATGGAGATGCAGGCCTATAATTGCAACACTCTAGAATGCTGAAGCAGGAGGACTGCAAGTTTGAGCCTAACTTGAACAAATTAGCAAGTTAGCAAGAGCCTGTCTCAAAATAAAAAATAAAAGGACTGGAAATACAATTCAGCATGAAGACCTTGAGTTCAATCCCCTGTACCACCATGATAGTAATAGTAATACCTCTCTTCATCCCTCTTCATAAGGTGTGTAGCGAAAGAATTAATTAGAGGACAAGATTTAAGAGGGCAGACCACACCCCAAGGTGACAGACTTGGGTAGTTTCTTCTTTCAGGGACCATCTGGAACCAGGAGCTTTGAAAACCGAGGCTTCTGTTTCGTGATATACAAAACACTATGATTCTTTTCATAGTATTTTTAGCCTTATCAGTTACTTTTACTGTTCTGAGTATATGCAAATAACTGGAAAGCCCCTGTATTTTTACAGTCTCATTTTTAAAAAAAGAGAAGAGTTGCAAAACTGATGAGTGGAGGGAGTTTGATGTCCAAGTGTATTTTATCTTACAATGAACATTTAAGGCAAAGCGAATTCTAACACAAAGACTAAATCTGTAACCATCTTTGCTGAAAGGATTGCCCAGTAAATGCAACCACCACCATCTGAGACAGTGGACTGGAACACTTTTCAGAAACACCCAGAGTCAGCAAATACTCTTGAACCACACAGACACAAAGGTGTGTAGAACATAGAACAGATCAGTCTCTGGGCAGCTCCTTGAAGCCCAAACACCTGAGACAGGAGGTGGGATTGCAGGTGGCAAAACAAGCACAGCTTCGCATTCACACATAAGCAGCCTGGCACGGCCTCCGGCTGCTCTACTGACTGGAAGCAAACCCTGCAGCTGTGACCTTCCAAGCGACCCGATCGGACATGCATTAGCTCATTTAACCTTCACCACAGCCCTGGGAGGGAACTCTTGTCGATGATTTTACAGATCAGGAGACTGGAACTCAGGGAGGTTAACTGCTTGTCCAGGTTCACAACACTAATTAGGAGAAAACAAATACATGGAGAAGACAAAAACGTTTCCTTGTCTAGGCATCACCTGTCCAGTTGACATGAAAAATACCCAAGAAGGCCTTGTTTCCTTGGAAGAGCATCTCCTGACATAGTGTGTGGCTCATTTGGGTTTCTGGTTGGATGTCCTGGTGCTCCTGTCATCCTTTCAGACAGTCATCTCAGGATATGGAGGCTGAGTCAGGAGGACCTTGTTCCTCAAGGTCGAGATTAACTCCTGGTAGCAGGGAACTCTGAAGAAGTCACTTGGTTTTCTCTCTTTATTTATGGAACCCTCAAACTGTGAGCCCACAAGCTGGGAAGAGAACACAGATGTGGGAAAGACAGATGTGCTATCCACTTTCATGAGGCTTCGAGCTCAACAGCCATCTGTTGAGGAATTTAACAAATGGTGGGCAACTGCCTGGGGCAAATATATTTTATTCTATTCATGTGGAATTCTAAAAATTGTTTTCCGTTGCTGGCATTTAAATATTGTGCTATTCCATATAAAATTCCAGATTTCTGACTTGACAAATTAGAAGGTTTTGGCAACTCGGTATCAATTGTCAGTCTGACAACCATTTGCCATACATAGTTCAGTAGTCGCTGTCCCCCAATTGTCACAGATCAGACCTCTCCCAATTGCTTCCCTGACAGCTGGGGTCAGATCCCGTTTATCATCACAAATTTCTCCTACTATGGAGCTACAAGGAAAGATCTCTAGGTTATTTGTACCTATAGACTCTTTTTTCCCAAATAATACACGGTAGTACCATTGCAGTAACTCTATTAAAACATTTCTCTTAAGTTGGGCTCAGTGACACACGCCTGTAATCCCAGCTACTTGGGAGACTGAAGCAAGAGGATCGAAAGAAAGTTCAAGCCCTGCACACAGAAAGCCCTGGGTTGTCTCCAGGGTGGGGGCAAATCCCTTCTGTGCATCCTACCTCTCTCTCTTTCTTACATAATGGGCTGGCACCTACAGCCAGTATTTGAACCTAGGCTGCAGAACCTCTGCTCTTACATGTTCACTGTGCTGCCTCCCTGAAGGATTCTGGGAGCATTTAGAATGGGGCCCCCCACCTCACATTTAGTGTGCTTGGTGTGAATGTGTCTTTTTGTGTTCTAAGTCTTACTTACTCCAATACTTACTCTTCAGAGCAGGAAACAATGTTACAACACAGTGAATCGCCAGGACTTAGCACAGTGTTCAAAAATAATAAAACTGAGTTAATTTTCCTTTATTTCCACAGTTCCTTAATCAAGCTTCAAAGGCAGCATTTATCACATTTATAGGTGGTACTCTATGCATCTGTCCTTGCCTTGAGTGTGAAAACCTCAAGTATCCTTCATCTGTTGCTCAGAATTTAGTACTTAGAGGCTTGGTGGCTAACTCCTGTACTCCTAGTACTTGGGAGGCTGAGGCAGGAGAATTGTTGCAAGTTCAAGGCCAACCTGACTGCATAGCGAGACACTGTTTCAAAAAAAAGCAAAAAAACCCTTAGCACTTAGGAGTTGCTCCATAAATGTTATAGACGAACTGAGTGACGGTTCTTAGCGATGCTAATGATCACAACAGGATTTTTTTTCTTTTTTTACATTTTGTTTTCTTCCTCTGTGTGCCATCTTTTTATTGTTCCGCATTCATTCAAATTATTGGACATTGGACTTTAATGATGAATTTGAAAAATATTTTGGCAATGTAAATAGAAAGACATGATCCAACACAATTATTTCCCCTTTTTGTTTCATTGTAGCTCTCTCTGGACCTCTATCACACAGAAGATGATATTTATAAACTGTCCCTGGTGCTGGAGCCTAGAAATTCTAAATCGGTGGGTATTGTTTTCTCTCTATGATCAGTGCTAAACACCATTATTTGTCATTTATAGTAAGTGGCAGTTACAATGGCATTTGATGTTCTAAAGATTGAATATAGATTTTTAAAAATCTACATTATTCCCATTTTACCAATGAAACGGCTTACCCTTTAAGAGTATGAGAATTATTTCTTCATATAAGATGGTAATAAGGATGAAGAACATCATTCCTATTATTGTTTTATTATTGATCTTCTATTTCTTATATCCTCTGTAGTACACCTACATATAGGATCCAAAAGAAAAAAGAAAGAATTGTCTTGAAGATGAGTTATAACCTTCCAGGCTTTGTAAACACACACACACACACACACGCGCGCGTGCACGTGTGCACAAACTCCACTCAACATAAAATTAGATTTAATAAATTTCAAATACCCTGATCATAATTCACAAACCTTCTCCTTTAGTGTTTAACTTAGCTTAGAATTTCAGCGTCACCCCGGATAGTGTCTCATTTAACTGATGGCTGACTCTTAGTAAATAAACATTATATAACAAGATCCAGACCGTTGCTTTAGTAAATGTATACTGCTGAATTTTAGACATTTTGCTCTAATTTAAAAATATGTCTGGGCCGGGCATGGTTGTGCATGCCTGTAATCAGGACTCTGGGAGGCTGAGGCAGGAGGATTACAAATTCAAGCCCAGCCTGGACAACTTAGTGACTTAGGGATACCCTGTCTCAAAAATAAAACTAAAAAAAAAAGTTCGGGGATGCGGCTCAGTGTGAAGGCCCTAGGTTCAATACCCAGTACTGTACAGGAAGTGGGGCAGGGGGAGGTGAGAAAGAATAAAGAAGCCAGGATGAATCTAAAATTCACAATGAAAATATGATTTGTGTGTTGAAAGGAAAAATAAAAATGTCTGTCTGTCTCTTAACTCCTCCCACATGCTCAGTTTTTTACAAAGTCCTCAAGCCCTGCCTCCTTGCCAGCTGAACAGCAACTCCTCAGCTGCAGCTCCAGCCCGAGTCTATTAATACCCTCTGCCCCTGGGCCTGGGTGGAGGCAGCAGGGCGCTGAGGCTGCTCTCTGGCCGCCTGGCACGCACCAAGTGTGGGTCAGGGCCCGCAGCACCTGCGGCTGAGCTCCACCCGCCGGTCCCCTCCACCGTCCCCAGGGACCGTGCCCAACAGAGCCCCGCGGGGAGGCGTGGCCCAGGCACAGGTGCTGGCTTCTCCAGACCGTTCAAGTTAGCATGACGAAGAGATTAAGAAAGAAAGGCAAAGCTACGGGGAAGGACTTTGCAAGCTCCTGCCTCGTCCCTATGTTCAGTGAGCCTGTATGTGAATCTTCACAATTTCCCACCTTGGCCTCCTTCGTCAGGCATAGTGATTGTGCAGAATGCCTGGCCCGCGGGCAGCACCGGCCTGCCATCCTAGCAGCTGGGAAACCGGGCCTGAGGAGCACGGGTGCCTTTCAGGGGTCTCACAGACAGTAGGTTACCACTGGGGCTCAGTCTCAGGCTCACCTTCAAGGCCCGTGCCTTTCCCACCATCCCTCCTATCAGGAACAGGGTAGGAAAGACCACTTCCGCACAGTCGTGTGCTTTAGGTCTGCATCAGTTTATTTTTAGGATAAAGTTTTGCCGGTCTTAGCAGGCAGTTCTATCAAACACGGAGAGGTCACTTAATTTGTTGTATGAGTGGACGCTTTCGAAGGCCCTTCCAAGTGCTGGAACGCTATGAATCTACGCAAACACATTCTCCGACCCCTTCCCGTCTCTTCTCTACATGGAGCATCGTCCTAGTCGATGTGTGTTGTAAGTAGAGAATGATTTCCAGACAGGATTCTGTTACCAGAAACCCGTATCGTAATGTGCTCCCAGTCGGAGCTGGCTGACCTAACCTGAATAGTCTCAGAGGTTCTCAGTCTTTTTCCCCCTCACGGTGTCTGGCTGGTTCCTTGAGGTTTACTTGGTGCTTCAATGGTGTTTTCATGGCACTCTAGATCAAAAACCAAACCAAACAAAACACCCCACTTAGTCCCTGTCTCAAGAAATAAAAAAAGGTTGAGGATGTAGCTCAGTACTAAGGCCCTGTATTCAATTCTCAGAACCACATACACATTAGAAAAGAACAGGAAATGCTCAGCAATTCCACTTATAGAATAGTTAGGTCCAAATAAATTAATAAATATTTGTGTGCAAACAATTTAGTACCCACTTGAAAAAAATAATACACTTATATTGAAAGACAACTAGTATTTTTCTTTCATTCTTAAATAACTGCAATTACTTCCTACTGGATGTGTGTGCCTGCTGGACACTGTACAATTTCTTAAATCTTGGAATTAGATTGAATGCCCTTATTTCTTGTTCCATATTGATTTTTTTTTTCAGAGATACTGTATCATTGGAAGATATTTAAGCCAGGTGTGGTGGTGCATGTGTATAATCCCAGCACTCCGGGAGGCTGAGGAAGGAGGAGGGCAAGTTCAAATCCATTCTGAGCAGTTTAACAACTTAAGGAGACCTTGTCTCAAAAATGTGAAAAGGGATGGAAATGTAGCTCACTGAGAAGACTCTGGGTGCAATCCCCAGTATTGCTGAAAAAACAAAAAGCTATGCAGTGTGAACTAATGGGTGAACTGGCCCCTGTTTCAAAGTGATAGTTCTTGTGATGTCCATATTAAGGATGACTGTATTTCACTTGGAAATTTGCAAAATCTTTTTGTGCCCTATGAATTCACTGTAGTGCTTCAACACACACGTACAGTTTGGGAACTCAAGTATATCCTTTTCCCAGATCAATAAGATGAAAACATTGATTGCGAGAGCTACAGTGTGTGTGTGTGTGTGTGTGTGTGTGTGTGTGTGTATGTGTGTGTGTGAATTCAACGTATGGGTGAACATATGCAAATGACAGATAATTTTTAGTCCTATTGGTATGGTAGCTCACAGAATACCAGTAACACTCACCCCCCAACATTGTTAGGGGTTTAAATGAGTAGTTACTTCTTAATTCCTCTTACAAAAATGTTAATCCCTAACTCATAAGCAAGTAACCTTCTTCTGTAGGTTTGCATGTGTGTACCAGGGAACTATGGATACTGTACGAGGGTCCTGGGGCAGGGGGAGGAGGATACAAACCACCCTGCAGGTTTAGCTCCTCCCCGATCAGATGGCCAGTGTAACATGACCGTGGCATGCACTATTGCCACCGCCTTTCCCACATTATTAAGTGAAAATGTCTTACACCATGGACAAATCCAGTGGGTAAATGTGCAGAAAGAAAGTGCACCAGGAGGGGCAGAGAGGCTAAAGACTCACAGAACAGTTAGAAGGGATCAAGTGCATTGTCCAGAGTGCAGCCCAGAGGGCATGAACTTGGCCAAGAACTGGTGCCCATTTACTACAAGCACCTTCGGATGCAAATGCATTCCTAATGTCAAGTAGTAAAGCGTTAAATGACTGGTTTTTATATATTTAGTGTCATACAGAATCCACGATGGGCTGTTTTAGAGTGATTTAGTTCCTCATGTTGAGAAATAAGCCAGACTCAGACTAGTATTACGTGTTTTCCCTAATATATGTAATCTAAAACAAAACAAAGATGACCTGAAAGTAGGGAGACTATTACTAGACAAGAGGAATAAGGGGGAGAAGGAAGGTAATAAGGGGGATAGATATGATCAAAATATATACATGTATAAAAAATAAAACACAAATCATAAAAAAGTATGTTTTAGTGATATTTGGGGAACTTGGGTAGGCTATTTGGATGGGCTGGGAGGGCTTTATTTTTCTGCATTTAAAAATAGTAGAACTGCCGGCTGTGGTAATCCCAGGATTCTGAGAGACTAAGGCAGGAGGGTCACAAGTTCAAGCCCTGCCTGAGCAACTTTGCAAAACTTTGTCTCAAAATAAAAAAGGGTGGGGATGTAGCTCATTGTGAAGGCCCTGGGTTCAATCCTTCGACCCACAAAGGGAAAAAAACACCAACTCAGACTGCTACTAAACGAAATAGGTTATCGAATATGTATTTACTTACAGAACAGATTCCAATCACAGAAGATGGTTGTTTAATGATCAGTTTAGTCTATGCGAATGTAAGTTTTCACTAGTATTATTAATATACAAACTGTCTTTCTCAGTGTCCCTAGTCCTAGTTATGCAAGGCTCAGTTGAATTGATAACTGTGTGTGCTTTCTTTCAGCAGCCTACCTCCCCTACAACGCCCACTAAGTCTGTGGTGCCCCTGGACTGGGCATCTGGGGTGATGCCAAAGCCAGACCCCACGGTCATCAACAAGCACATAAGAAAACTAGTTGAGGTACGTAGCTGAGGGAGACTATGCAGCACTAGAAGGCTCCTTTCTCTGTCTGCAATGTTCTGTGATTGCCCAGAGTTAGACTTCATGGACCAGATGAAGCCCATGAAATCAGCTCTCTGGCAGATGGGAAGAATTTAGCCTTCAGGGGAGAATCTAATGGAAAGACCCTCTCCCTGTCTTGGCAGTGTGTTCTCATCTGCCCACATACTCTCAGCCACTTGCAGTTCCTTTCTTTCTACTTGATGTACTTTTGGGGAATTAGAATCACACGTGAAAACCCATTTGGGTCACAATAGGTCACAAAAATTAGTTACTTGAGGGCAGGAATATATCCTGTGAGCTGGATAGTTTTACTTGCTGTGTATTTTCAGGGCTCTGTAACACAGCAGTTCAATGTTAGAGGTCAGAAAAATCAGCTAATGGAGGACAAGGCTCAGAGTTTTTCACACAGGAAGAAGAGTAGAAGCACTAATGTGGGGATGTGGAACACATCTTGGGCACTGTAAGTTGTGATGCTGGATTACACCTCTAATGGATCAGTATACCCTCTGGTACAGTAGGATTGAACCTATGGGCTATATTGTGCTTTTTGCTGGGAAAGGATGTTTAAAGAAGAAGAAAGAATGTTCTACATCTTGGATAACCCAGGGAAATGTGAGGCACTGAAGAAAAAAAACTTTTATGGAATTCATGAGGCAGGGAGAAAAACAGTGGTAGGGAGGAGATTTCTCCTGAGGGAGGGGCTGAGAAGGCCCTAAAGTCCAGTGGCGGCCTTGAGATGATGTGGCAATAACAGAACTGAATTTCAGGCAGAGAAGCCGAGGCAGGAAGTGCCTGACTGTGTCCTGGAAGACTGACTGCTTACTTCACCTACTTGCTACAGGGGTACCTAGTGGCTCATATCCTGGGAAATTAGCAATTATTTTAATATTTTCCAACCCCAGAGATTTTTAAAAAGAAGTTTCATTTGAATGTTTATATTTACTAAGAGAGTTGGTACCTTCCCATGGATGGATTGCCCAGTTGGCTTTTTACTTTGGTTAATTGGCTGTTTTACTTTTGTGTCTTTGCTCTCTCAAATAACTTGCTGTCATTTATCTTTAAATTTGTTAATTGAGCTTTTTTGTTTTGTATATTTCATATTTTATTGTAATAAAATGTCTTTATATCTTCTGGCTTTAATGTTATGCTAAGACAAACTTTTCCCACTCAAAGATTTTGAGACATAAAAAAGATTTTTATCTCTTACCTTTGTTATTTTTAAAGCTTTAGTATTATTTTTACATTAAAATATTTAATGCATATGGAATTTAGTTTGGGGACAGTTTATTTTATAAGATTTTAGCCATTTAATTTAACAGCAGTTATTGGATGATCCATAATTTCCCTGTGAATTTGAGAAGATACTTTTTCATATTACATGGATATATTTCAAGACTCCATTCTCTGTAGTAGGTTGTATTATGTTGTTTTGATAAATATAGCCTTATAGAATGGTTCATTTCTGAAAGGGCATGTTCTTTCTCATTATATCTCATTCTAAACAATTTTAGGCTATTAACATATTCATTTCTTTTTGAACTTTAGATATAGCATGTTCAGTTAAAACAAATTCCTTCTCTTAAAATAGGTAGATTGGTAGGCAGGTATATAGATGAATAGATGGATAGGTAAATAAAACATTTTAAAATTCCCACTGGGATTTTGATTGGAATTGCATTAAACATATGCTTCCAATTTTTGAGACAATTTAACATTTAAGCTTGGTTTTCTATTGTCATGGTGTTAATTCCCCAAGCCTGACTCCTACTCACCCCCAAGGTCTCAGTTTAGACTTTGTTTTCTCTGAGAATCTTTCTTAATCTACATTCCCTACTTCATGGGGCTACAGTTTTATCATCCACAAGTCACTCACTTGTGTGTGTTGTAAAGGCTTCCGGATTTAGTTATCTTCCACTGGATTCTAAGCTCCTTGATAGAAAGGATAATATGCTATCATTGCTTTCACAATAACAAGTTCAGAGCCTGGCTCATAAACTGTCATTCAGTAAATACTTGTCTTTCTTTTGCAGTCTGTGTTTAGAAACTACGATCATGACCACGATGGGTACATCTCCCAAGAGGACTTTGAAAGTATAGCTGCCAATTTTCCCTTCCTGGATTCCTTCTGTGTACTAGACAAAGATCAGTAAGTTTTAATTTTGTTATATTTTAATAACTCTGTCTTACAGCAAAAGAATTATCAGAGGGGAACAGGAAAACCTGTAATTTACATCTTGATGGCTTCAATCTTAGAGATGTGCACATCTTTTTAAGTTGGCTTAGTGATTAGTAATCACATGACCTCCACCTAGACTGAGGGGCTGGAAAATGTATCTCCTAACTAGGCAGCTACTTGTGAGTAACAGTGTGTTGGCTTTCCATTGCTGTGACAAACTACCTGACATAAATAAATTTGAAAGTGGCAAGATTTATTTTGGCTTATGGTCTCAGAGGTTTTAGTCCATAGTAAGTTGGTTCCATTGCTTTTAGTCCTATGGCAACACAGAAATATCATGGTGGAAGGAAGGCTGTTCACTTCATGGTAGCCAGGAAACAGAGTATAAGAGACAGCCAGATAGGAAGGGGTCGGGGCCTAGATATAGTCCCTGAGGTCTGTCCTCATGATCACTAATTTCAGTTAGGCCCCACCTCCTGTTTCTGTCACTTCCCAATAATGCCATTCAATTATGATCTCATCAGTAGATTAATCCAACCAAGCCTTTCTGATCCAGTCACTTCCTAAAAGGCCTTCTGCAGCCTTCAACACAATGGGCCTTTGGGGGGGACATTTTAGATGCCAACTACAATGGTAATAGATCTGTATGATGAAAGATAGTGCACGTGTTATGTAACAAGCATTGCTCTTCCTTTCTCTCTTAAGCCATGGAAGGGCTGAGCCAGAGCTGCTGCCTATGATTATGCTCCAGAGACCTTATTCTCTTTATATTCTAGCAAGTGCAGCCCCTTAGCTGTGTACTTAGTGAGTCCATCTGTATTTATATCTATTTTCATGTATCTATAATCTCTGGGTCTATATATCCTTTTTTCCATGAATATGAAACCAGGCTCCTGGGGCTGGGTATTTAGCTCAGTGGTTCCACCACCTGCCTTGCAAGCACAAGGTCCTGAGTTTGATCCCTGGTACAAAAAAAAAAAAAAAGAAATTAAAAAGTAAGCATAGTGTTTAAAAAAAAAAAGAAACCAGGCTCCTTATGTGTATTTATGATTAATGGCAAGGATTGCAGGAAAACTTGCTCTTCTTAAAGTCAGCCGGGCGTGGTAGTGCATGCCTATAATCCTATGACACTTGGGAGACTGAGGCGGGAAGATCACTGAGAGTTGGAGGCCAGCCTAGGCTATGTAGTAAGGTCAAGGCCAGCCTTGAACTATACAGGAAGACACTCACAGAAAAACAAAAAGATGAACGAGACACTAAACGACTCTTCAAATTTTATACATTTTATCAACAAAATGTTGTTAATAAGAAATAAAATCAATAAATTTTTTTAGATATTATTTAAATTATTTTGCCTATGAGATAAGAAAGGAATCTTAAATTCTTAAGTTTGGAATAAGCCTGCAGGGACTTCCCTTTTACATGTAGAGTCTGAAAGCAATAAGTGGATCCTGCAGAAGAGCCAGAGAAAGGGGAGCCGGAGAGGAAGAAGACCAGTGCAGCATGGAACCACAGGGTCCACAGGAGAGTGTCACAAGGAAACACATCCCCATATGACATTCTGCCAGGATGTCAGCAAGCTCAGTTCGGAGAGGCCACTGAGAATGTCCTTGGTGACAGTTTCAGTAGAATATAGGCTCAGAATCTTAACAGTGTGAAGAGTAATGGATTGTCTTAGTTACTTTCTTATTGCTGAGACACAATACCTGACAACCCCAACTCGAGGAAAGGTTTATTTTGGCTTACAATTTGTAGAGATTTCAGCCCATAGTCAGCTGACTCCAGGCAGAGCAGCATAGCAGAGGAGAAACTGCTCATTGAAGAATCACAGGGGACCCAGGAAGGAGGGAGATAGAACCTTCCCGACCATGGCCCCAGTGATCCACTTCCTCCTATCAGGCTTCACCTCCCAGTGGACCAATCCACTGTTGAGTATCCCACCCTCATGATCCAATCACCTCCCATAAGCCACACCTCTGAGCAAATGAGGCTTCGGTGGGACATCCAGATATAAACCATAACATGGATGGAAATGGGGAGTCTGATACTGTTTTTAAAAATTTTGGGAATACAAAGGAGAGAAGACAAGACAGTTGTGAAATGACAGCAGGACTGAGGAAAGGAATTTATTAGGAGGAAAAGTCTTGAGCATATTTGCAAACAGAGGAAGGAAGAGATGAAGAGATTGAGCAGAGCCTGGAAGGTGTAGAATCCCGCCTAGGCTGGACAGTGGAGATGAGATCACCACTTCCTGTGCCATAGGAGGACCCAGGAGAGGACAGAGGAGACAGAAGGAAACCAAACTGGCGAGGAAGGGTATGGTCTCCAACACCTGATGGTGTAGGGAGGAGACAATGTGGAGCTCACCTATATCGAGTAGATTTGATCTTTTTTTGATTAAATAAGCTGGGGTATGTAATGAGTTGGGGGTAGCAAGGTGAGTGGAATTAAAGGTTGGTTTTGTGTGGGGAAGATCTGTAGTTGCTGCAGTCACTGGGCTCTGAGCAGTGAGACCTGAATGAGAAAATCACCCAGCAAGCAGTCTGCACAGCACAGCCTGAGGCTGAATCGATGTGAGAAAGCCAGGCCCACTTAGTACAATTTCCTACCCCTGGCCACAGCTTCATCCTCGCAACCCTATTGCTAGGCAAGGGCTGGAAAGATGTCCTTCTGGAAGCTACTCCTGAGGAAGGAGGGAGATGTTCTTTACTGGAGTACACAGGCCACATGTATGCATGTATGTGTATAGTCCTGCACACTCACACACACTTACTCACACTGACTTATGTGTGCATAATTTTTTGCATACTTTCTGAAAAAGGCTTTGACCACCTGAAGCTGTCCTTTAAGGTCCGGCCCTCCTTCAGACATAACAGGCCAGTGAACATTCCTCATCTGCTTTTGGCCATGAAGCTTTGGAAGGTGGGTAATTGAAGTGTGGCAACTGCTTAGCAATATGGAATTCAAGGACCCTTCTCTTCTTTGATTGTCCTCACAGGGATGGCCTAATCAGCAAAGATGAAATGATGGCCTACTTCCTGAGAGCTAAATCCCAGCTACACTGTAAAATGGGACCAGGATTTGTCCATAACTTTCAGGAGATGACCTATCTCAAGCCAACCTTCTGTGAACACTGTGCTGGATTCGTAAGTCTGTTTTCTACTCTTTTGTCTTGTGTGCAGTTATTTTTGCAGCATTCTGAAAAAGCAGGAAAATGGCACGCTAAATAGAAGCCATGGTCTCCTTTGGACCAGAAGTAAAACATGATGGTTCCGTGAAATTAAGGATTAAATAAAAGCAAAAGCAGTATCAGTGAGTTTAGCTGTATTCTAAGAATGCAAGGCTAGCAAGGACAAGGAAGGTTGGTGAACCCTCTTAGCTGGAGAGAGCAGTTTGTCTGCTAACTACTGCTAGGAGAAAGGTGTCAGTCAGCCCACAGAGGCCTGGCGTTCATCTCCAGTGTTCATAAGTGGCTTCAAGTAGGGAGCGCATGTAGCCAGTTCCTTCCAGCACTCATTTATATGGCATTAGTCAGGAGAAATCCATCATGGCATGGCCCAGAAATTCCCAACTCAAAAAGGAGAAAAATCTTTTGGAGAGAAGATGGTTATAATAATATATAACATTTACTTAACACTTGACAGTAACAGAGCACTTCTGTGGACATGAATACGATTAATCCTCACAATCAGCCCTTGCAGCAGATGTTTTACTCTCCCCATTTTGTCCATGAAGGTAGAGGGGTGGAGAGGCTGAGCCCGGTCCCCGGGAGCCTGCAGCTCCTAATTACCAGAGCTGAGACCTACACACGTGTTCTGGCTCTGAGCCCTATGCTCAGCCCACCCCAGTGCGACACCTGAAGATTGCACACTCCGGCCCCCCGTGTTTGTAATTCTTTGGGAAGTGGGGTCAGCTTTTGGTCCTGGCCTTAAACAGAGACTCTTGGGCTCTGCCTGTTTTCTAGTTAATTCCCAACTTGAAGAAAATGACAAATGTGGTATTGCAGTTGAGGGTGGCCCAGAACACAGGTGAGTAGGATGATTTTTCTCAATACCAGAGCTCACTTATGTCAACTATATTCAGCATCATGTCCCAGTATTGGCCCACTGAACGTTTTGCTGGTATTTTATGCTACCATCATATTACATTTTTCCCATCCCATGCTTGAAGAATTGCCTCTGGAGCTGGACATGGTGGTGCATACCTGTAATCCCAGTGCTCGGGAGGCTGAGGCAGGAGGATTGCCACAAGTTTGAAGCCAGCCTGGGCTACATAGTGACATCCTGGCTCCAAAAAAAAAAAAGGCGTTCCCAAGGGTGGAGTTTCTACTGAAGCACATACACCTCTGAGAGGGGTAAATAAGAGGCAGCTCTTTCAGCAAAGATTACCCTAGGTGGTCACTGCAGCTCTCCCTACCCACTCCAGGGAGGGAGAAGTTCCTCTCCTCTTAGTGTCTCCGTTGGGAGCATATTACCAACCAGTTTATTGTAAAACCAATGCACTGTGGGTCTCCAGTTCTCTATTCTGATGGGAAGTTTTGAGAGTATCTAGACCCAAAAATGCTGATGGGGGATGGAGCTGTGTGTGACACATCCTGAAAAGTGGGACCCACTAAACAGAAGGTCAAACCGTTAGACACAGCATGGCTCAGCCAAGTCAGGATGGCCCACCTGTCCTTTGGTGGATATGAGAGTCAGAAAGCTCTTAGCAGCTTTCAAGGTCTCTCCTTGGCCTTGTTGTCCAAGCCTTCTATCCTGTCTGTCCCCTTCACCTCATTGGTACATTGGATTAGGTCTTCATTCACATACATAAAAAAGTGTGTTGGTTTTCAAAGGAATTTTTAAATACAACTCTAAAGGTGTGTCCCTGAAAGGAATTGTGAGGGAACACAAGGAACCATTCTTCCAGGACAGGGACCATCTGCTTTGGACATAAATTCCAATTCAAAGGGAAGAAAGACCAATAGAAACCACTTGCCCTGCAGTACATTTATTTCAGAATTAGGATTCCAGAACTGAAAAAGCACTGGTAATCCCCAATCTCAGATCTTTTGTAGAGAAAGAGCTGAGATCTAGAGATGTGAAGTGACTTCTTTGAAGTCACACAGATTAGCAGTGGGACCCGGACCAGGAACCATAGCTAGGTCTCCTGACTCTCAGTCCAGTGCTCCTTGCACCCAAACGAATTCCTCCAGACATCACAGCAGCCATGTCCTCAAGCTGGAGGACTGTGGGAAATATTCCTGCACACCCATCTACATGTGGTCACCTCTTGCTGTCCTTGGCCAGTACACTCACCCAAGTGACTTTCCTGGTTGGTGTTCTCCTGGTTATTAAATGAGCATTAGTAATGTCCTGCCCTGCCCTGAGGTTCTATATCCGCATGTTAGGAAACCCTTCTTACATCATGTCCTTTCTGGTCCTACCCAGGGCTTTGCTCACTCACAGAACACCCAGGAGCAATGGCTTCCTGTGCTTCCCTTAGGTGACACATTCTTCTGTCCCTACTTACTAGCTGAGACCTCATCAAGTGACTTCACCTCTGTGTATGTCAGACTCCTCACCTGAAAATGAGGAAAATATTATTCCTGTATAGATATCCTGAGCACTGAGTGGGTTAATCCATGCAAAAGGCTTAAAACTGTCCTTTTCACATAGCAAGACTTCAGTACATCAGAACAATTTTAGTTCTACCATGTTCCAGGCTGTGGGCCCTTGTACAGTTATTTAATTCCTTGGCTCATCACACTCACCTTTTACAAAGGAGAAGCCAGCTGGATCACCTTAAAAATTCTCATAGTTGATGGCAAGATGTGACTGTCCTGGCTACCCATGGCTCTTTCCTGTCCCCATCTCTCTCCAGTCTCCTCTCTACTCCAAGCCTTGCTACCAATTAGTTGTCCATTCCTTCCTGTCTCCAAGGCAGCATGTTACTCTGCCCCAAGGGGCATTTGCATCTTAATAATATGCTCTGAAGAACCAAATAGCTTTTAAGAATTTTATTTTATTTACAGACAGGGACTTTGCTAAGTCACTAAGTTGCTCAGGCTAGGCTTGAACTTGTGATCCTCCTGCCTCAGCCTTCCAGAATGCTGGGATTATAAGTTTGCACCACCACACCCAACTGTCTACTAATTTTATTTTTTAAAAAAATTTAAAGTTAGTATATGTTTGAGAACACATAATGAATGCTTTGATCTTGAGGAGTTGGTACACATATATATTACATCTTAATCTTTTTTACTTCTCCTTCCCCTCTCCTTCCCCCTCTCTCCATCTCTACTGCTTCCCATTTTCCAGGGACCCATGTTCCTGTTTCCTCAAGTAACTTTTAAGGCTCAGAGGAATCTTTGAGCTTTCCATGGGTAGAATTTCATTTTCAGGGAGAGGAAAGAAGCAGTCTTGATGATGCCCTTGAGTTGCTTCATATTGGCAGCTACTTACACTTCTTGGAGGACCATGATGCCCATGGCCACTGATACCCTGGGGACAGTACCCACACCGACCCAGGAGGCCGCTGGGCCTGCTTCTTTCTACATCATTTTATTAAGTAAACAGAAGCCACCTAGCCTAACCACAAAAAGGTAGGGCGTGTAGCTTTTCCAATCTGAGCTAAGCCCATTTCGCTGAACAGAGCCGAGTACTGTAGGTGTTTGGTGTTCATCCTGCCCATGTGCAAGTGCTGTGGAGAGGCACAAGGAAGGATGTGGCACAGCCACCTTCCTTATGGCTTCTAGAAGGAATCTGTCAGGAGCAAAGATACCACCCAGGACACCTCCTGAGCTGCCCAGGCAGACTCCCAGTTGACCCCTAGCCCTCACATCTCTCCTGGCCATGTGTCATGTCAAACAAATCATAGCATGCCAGTAATTTGGCTTTGAGATCTTACTTGGCTTTATTTTTTATTCTAGAACTAGGCAATATTTTCTTCTATAAAGTAGAATGAATGGCCCAGTGAACCAAGCATGAGAGGTTGGTTTTATGGACAGAAAAGTGCTGAAGAAAGCAGAAATAAAGAATAAAAAGCAGATTGGTCATATGAAAGTTACTTTCCTGGTGAGGCAGGGAAAAGAGAGACAGAAGAATAGAGAAATAACTCATTGGTTAACTTCAAGCTACCTTTTTATGTGTGTAAGGAGAAATACATAGGGAACTTCATTATCATGAAGTCGACTGGCCCCTTTGGGAAATTTGGCTGTTAGCTCTCAATTTCTCCTGGTTTCTGGGAAGGTCAGATAAAAAGCTTAGTGTCCACTTGGTAATGTGGAACTTTAGCATGGGTGACTGCATTTTGACTTATAGTCTGGTCTGTTGGAATCCAGTGCAGCATCCTAGTTCAAAACAATGACTTCCTGTAATTTTTATTTCATGGTCACTTTCTACTTATTAACCATGAGGTGGGCAGAATCCGAGCCTTTACTACCTGATTCTAGCTTGGCGCAAACCAAGCACAGAGCAAATTGTGGAGCCTCAATATGTGAATGAATAAGATTGTTTCCTCTTCTGTATTCAAGGTACAGTACAAATACTGGGAAAATAAGTGCAAAATCCAGATTAATAAGTGCACTTTTTAGATTGCTGTATTTCCCATTAAGGGGCCAAGAGCAACTAGTGTTACTAAAATGAAGGCAGAGGGAACAAGGGGCTTCCAGAGACTGAGCAGTCTTCTCTCCTATAAATTCTGCTGAGCGCTTCGTCAAAGCCTAACCATGCATCAACTTTAGTTTCCCACTCTGCCTCCCATTTGGCTCTGGGGAAGAAAAGGGAAGCAGAACTCATGTTATCACCACAGCTGGCGTGGGCTGGAAGAGGGGTCTTCTCTCTGACAGGAAGGGTGTTAAGAGCAGCTAGCTACATCCTGTTTGTGTCCGGCCAGTCCTGAAGCATCCCAGGACTTCCTTTGCTGCGGCCCTGTTTTCCTTCCAGATTTCCCTTCAGATTCCCTAACATTCCTTTCTCTTTTGTTACAGCTCTGGGGCATAATTAAACAAGGATACAAATGCAAAGGTAAAAAAAAAAAGTTATTTTGTTAAATTTTAAAAAAAATTTGGCATTTTGGGTAGGAGTCAAATTTGTCTGGTTACACCAAGAAGCTGTTGGCTTCATTGAGAACTTGGGTCTCTTGGGCCAATGACAACTGAAGAGAAAGCATGTTAAGAAGGGGACCCTGGAGGGGGAGAGGCAGAATTTTAATTTTTTAGCTTATTCTGTGAGGACAACAAGGTACCCTTGTCAATACTGCAAACATCTAGCCTTCCTCTTCCCCTTTCGAACTGTCCCCATCCAGTGAATGTGGGACTTGGGGTTCTGCAGTGTTACAGCTGAACTAAAATACTGTATACAAAACCTTCTTCGTTCAAAGGCAGAAAAAACACCCATACACACTCATTTCTGTAATACAGAGCCATTTCTTCTTGCTCTCATATACTGTTCCTTTCTCTACTAAGTCACATAGATGATGATGAAAAAAAGAATCTTCAGAATTCATTTTTCTCTTTCAATGAATTCATTCACTCATATATTTCTCTTATTTAATTGAAAAATTTTTTTTTTGGTACTGGAGATTGAACTCGGGACCCTGTGCTTTTGAGGCAGGTGGCGAAACCACTGCACTAAATCCCTGGCCCTATTTAATTGAAATTTATAAAAGATTGAGTTTATATCTGACAAATGCAACATGCATGCATCTTAAGCATTTAGGAATGTATATATATAATATATATATGTATTATATATATAATATATATATGTATTATATATATATATGGTAGATACCTCAGTTGTCGAACTCCGTTTGTTTCAAATTTCCATTCAAACACTGAAAGTTTGAGAACTGAACATATTTTTCCCATAAGAAGTAATGGAAAAGGAAGCAATTGGTTCTGAGGCCCAAAAATTATACTTATAAATTCATTTTTCCAGGACTTCAACAAATTTCACAATGAGTTCTTAATTTTTTGTTATTATTTTGTGTTTTTTAAATGAATTTTATTGGTACATTTTAGATATAAATAATGATCACATTCATCATAGGGAATTTGTACCTGTCCATGATGTATCTTTTTTCTTCCATTCCCCCTCTTCCCTTCTGCCCCTCTTCCTCTCCTTATTTGCAAAAGCTTTGTTTACACTTTTCCCTTCTATTCTCCTCTTTTCTTTTCCCTTCCTTTCTTTCCCCCTCCTCCCTCCCTAGTTCCCCTTCCCATTTGAACATTTTCTTCCCGTTTCACAGTATCTATTATACATTTTGGTCCTTATATGATTTCTTTCTTTAACTCTATTCTGGTTCTCACAGTTCTCCTTAGCTTTACTACTGGTATCACTAACTTTCTTGGGAGTCACAGTTATGATATTTTACACAAATAAGGTGCCAAAAAGAACCCAGCGATGAATGTTGTAATGCACTGACACACACAGTATATGTTGTCTGAGCGAGAGTGGCAGTCGCCCCTTTGTGTCCCAGAGAGAGGCAACACGTGACTCACTCTCCAATGCGACAGGTTTAAGTTAGATTTTCATTTTGACAATCGAGCAAAGTTACGAACAATGCACAGATTTTGTCTAATTTTGCTGTTTGAGTCGTGGAAAATTCGAGCTTAAAACTGTTCCACAACCGAGATATCACTGTATATGCTAGCGTTTAATAAGTTGCTGAATATTTTATACAGAGAGTTTATACGAATTCTTTTAAGAATGTGATAATGCTCTTGAAAAATATAATGAAAGTAAGCCAGGTGTCATGATCCGCACTGTAATCTGAGCACCCTAGGAAGTGGAGGTAGGAGGATCACAAGTTCAAGCCCAGCCTGGGCAATTTAGTGACTTAGTGAGAACTTTCCCAAAATAAAAAACAAAAGAAGGACTGGGGATGTAGCTCAGGGAAAAGGCCTAAATTCAGTCTCTAGTATTCCAGTAACACATGCACACACACACACACACACACACACACACAGAAAGAAAAATATAATAAATGAAACACCTTAATCACAGATGAATGCTGTTCATAATGTAAACTATTTGCATAAAATATTTAGCCATAATTTATAAATTTCAATTAAATGAGAGAATTGTAAGAATGAATTCATTGAAAGAAAAAAGGAAGCAGAAGATATAATCATTTGCCCCAGAAAGGTTTGGGGAAGTGAAGAATAAGAATCGGACAGGTACTGGATGGAGGAGCACCTCACCATCTGAGACCAGAGACAGCTGCTGTCCCGAGATCAGAAACGGAGACTCCTCGTCTCATTCTGCCAGGACCCCCTTTGTGGGAATTCTATCTGGGCCCGGGAAAGAACAGCCAAACCGGATGTGCACTTAGTTTTAGGCAAAGGCAGCTCCTCTGGGGCTGACTGCTCTGTAGGCCCTTAGTGACTTGTGTAGAGGAACGAGCTGAACAAATACAGAGCTTTGGAAGCCCGGGGAGCCAGAGAGGCCCCTGGCTCTTTTCCAGTCCCTGTACACAGCCTACGGGCTTGGCAGGACTCGGGAGATCCAGCCCAGAGCCTGGGGTGGGGTGGGGTGGGGCGACTGGCAAAGGCACCACCCCCGAAGCTCATTCAGCACCAGACCCTCGTGCTTCGCACTCAGCATCTGTGAACATTGGGATTTTTCAGACTGCGGAGCCAATTGTCACAAACAGTGCAAAGATCTCCTGGTTCTGGCCTGCAGGAGATTTTCCCGGGCACCCTCCTTGGGCAGCAGTCAAGGGTCCCTGCCTGGAAGCCCCTCGCTGCCCCCAGGTAATGGTCTCTGCTTTCCTTGCCATCCCTGTCTCTCTGCTCACCTCTCCACAGCTGCATTTGGGTCTCAGCCTGCCAGAGTCCGTTAACTCCAAAGCCTGCCTAGGGCGAGCAGCAACGGCTAAGCCCCTGGCTCCCTTACGTCTCTCTGCTTCCCAGTCTCACTGACATGCAAGTCACCTGTAGCTATGCATAGTCCCCTGTAGTTCTGTCCCTGCTTGGGCTTTGCCCATCAGACACCTGCTATTTGTGCTATCTTTGATGGTTTGCTATCAAGCAGACAAATGTCACATCACCATCACTCTCTTTCCCCTTCCAGTGCAAGATGAGGTGTTTGAGTTTCCTGGGGTCACTGCCGAACACCGGGATCTGGACAGCAGAGCCATCACGCTGGTTACAGGCTCTTCTCGCAAGATATCCGTGAGGCTACAGCGGGCCACGACCAGCCAGGCCACCCAGACTGAACCTGTCTGGTCTGAGGCTGGTTGGGGGGACTCAGGGTCCCACACCTTCCCCAAAATGAAATCCAAGTTCCATGGCAAAGCAGCAAAGGACAAAGGCTTTGCCAAGTGGGAAAATGAGAAGCCCAGGGTGCAAGCAGGTGTGGATGTTGTAGACCGGGGCACCGAGTTCGAGCCTGACCAGGATGAAGTCCTGGATGAGACGAGACAGGATGGTGAGGTCAGTGCTGGGCCAAATCGAAGAGAAAATCAGAAAGGAAGGCTGAAGGGGCTGAGATGAGCATTATAGTGGGTGGGTCTGGAAGGCATTCTGATAGTTTTGAAAGTGGTAATGTTTGGGAATTAAGAAGTAGCACTTTTAGGGGCCAGGGATTTAGGTCAGTGGTTCCACCGTCTGCCTCACAAGTGCAAGGTCCGAGTTCAATCCCCGGTACCAAAAAAAAAAAAAAAGATGTAGCACTTTTAATGTTGCTGTTGGCTAGTTACGTGACCTTGAAAAGTTGTTTTTTTCTTTGGGGGCCTCTGTTTCATTATGCCTAAAATTGAACTGGATTGAGTTCTAAAATTTAGCAAAGGTTGTCATGTCTGTGTATGGAAATGCTACCCCAGAGACCCATGGCTATTTCATGTATCCAGTATGTCAGTGCATTACTCATTCTCCAAGATAGAACCAGGGCCCAAACTCAGGGGACACAGTGGAAGCAAAGGATTTGGAGGTAGAGAATGAGAAATGGAAACTCCTGTCCTTACTAAAAAAGAGACTTCTGACAGCTTTATGGGAGAAAGTGTGATGAGAGTCAGACACGGAAACTTCAAGTTCTATACGACAGGCTCTATCTCCAAACAAGCATTACATTCCTATCGTCCAAAGTAAACTGGGATGCATATGGAATTTGTTAGAGCATGCTGAAAATAGAAATTGATTCAAGTTGGGGTTAGATAAATTTTATTAGTCAACAGTCCATAGGGTATGAAGAGAAAGGCTCTGGGGGAACTGGTATCATAGTCCTGAGCAGTGTCGGAGGGCAGCCATTGCCTCCCTGTTCCATCAGTCTCACAGCAGTGTGGGCTAGGCAGAGCCTCCACTGGACCAAGCCAGCGCTCTTTTTTCTAAGGGGTGGTCCATCACATTCTCCATCTGGAGAACGAAGACACAGTCTCCCTAGCTTCTCATAAGAAAAAACCCAATATCTTTAACCAAAATCTTCCGGTTCCTTTCTCATAACAATAAGAAGGCAACACACTACTGTATCTCCCAGTCAGGAAATGTATTGCAAGTTAAAGCTTTGCCATTTCCCCCTTTCTTATAACACTGTGCTAGTTTTCTGTTATTATGAAGAAAAACCTGATGAGAGAGAGAGAGAGAGAGAGAGAGAGAGAGAGAGAGAGAGAGAGAGAGAGAGGCCCCACAGTTCTCCTTAAGGATTTGTCCCCAGTGATCCAAAACCCCTCACTAGGCCCCTGACCTCGTCAATGCTTCTACCAACTTCACCAGAGTGAAGCTAAAGATCTGGGCCTTTGAGACATTGATTCAAAACATAGCACTGTTTATCGTTTGTTTGCTTGCAGAGCTAGGGATCTAACATAGAGTTTCCTGTGGGCTAGGCAAGCACTTTACCAGTTTTGCCCTCAGCCCCATAACTCTGACTTTTAAAAAGCTCTTTATTGGGACTAAGGATGCAGCTCAGTGATAGAGCATGTGCTTAACTTATAGAAGGCCTTGGGTTCAACCCTTAGCACCCAAAATAAATACACAAATAGGTAAATAATAAAATAAAAATCACTTTATTGACATATAATTGATATGCCATGAAATTCACCCACTTAAAGCATACGACTCAATGGTTTTAGAGTATTTGCATTGTTGTGCTACTATATAATCTAATTTTAGATTAGATAATCTATAATCTAATTTTAGAACATTTTCATCATTCCAAAACGAAGCCCTATAGCCAGTAGCAGTCACTCTCCTCCTCCACTTTGCCCTGGCCTTTGAGAGCTAATTTCCTTTCTGTCCATACAGATTTCCAGCACTAACTACTTTTCACATTTCCCCTAATAATTATCCTGGCAAATGTATCATTAGTCCTATCCTTCTACTTCTGCTAACATAGCTCAAACTGAGAATATACAAGTGATTAAGAAACAGTTCATGATTTGGTGCCAGGGGAAGATATCCCAGGGCAAGGGCTCTTAAACTGGTCTGAAAAATGGCTTCAGAAAGGTTCATGAAAGTGTTTTTTAAAAAAATTTTATAGAAATTATACATGGACATATGCTGGGCAGAAGTGTCCATAGCACTGAACAGATTCTCAAGTGGGGGGTGCATGGAAGTATCTGTGATTTAAAAAGAAAAGAAGAAACGAAAAAGATCCATTGTGCAAGATTTTCAGGAGGGTGCTGGAAATTGTGCCTGTCACCCTGTGTCCTTGCTTAGCATGTAGAGGCTGCCATGGAAGTCTCAGAAAAAGAGCCTGCTGGGGTGTAGTCATTGGATGCCCACCTAGAACACGTAGGATGGTGCACACCTCATGGGCATCTTTGAATTCTGGGGGCCCTGCTTGTGGATCTGGTCATGAGCTCACCTCTACTGGCCACCACAGTTCAAGTGACTTAACCTGGGCTCCTGAGTTAGGAGAAATTCACAGCCAGTTAGGTGCAGGGCATTCACATAGGTAAGATTTCCTGATGATTAATCGCTATGAGGAAACAGGAAGAAAGATCTGAGGGGTTTAAGTTTTAATTTTGTCTTTTGGAAATCAAGCCTTTAGTATTCAAATGTTCTTAGTGTTTCAATTTTCCCATGGGCTAACTATGGGGTTGGTTCACCGACCACTAATATCATTTGTTTCACTTAGAAAAGACTGTACGCTACTATATAAAATGTGTATATATGGTACACAGTCTAACCAAATCAGTAACAAGAAGATATTCGATCTTGTTCAGGGAAAAAGGAAAAAAAGGTGACAAAATTACCCAACAGTTGAATATATAGACAAAGGAGTTTTCAAATTCAAGAAATTTTCTGCCAGCCAAGACTAATAAATGAATGATCTATGCATTAACTATTTAGTGACATGATACTTATCAGTCGTATAATTTAAAATGTTAAAACACAGGTATCAACCCATTTTCTGTGGCTATAGTTGAATAGTACAGACTGGGTAACTTCAGGAGTTAATTTAGGTCACAGCCCTGGGGACTGGGACGTCCAGTAGCAAGGTCCTGGCATTTGGTGAGGGTCTCTTGTTGCACCTTAACATGGCAGAAGGCATCACGTGGGAACCCACAGCAAGCAGGCTGGCACAGGTCTTCCTTCTTAGAGCCAGTTATGCACATGGTGGCATGAGCTTGTGATCTTAGCACTAGTGAAAGCTGGGGCAGGAGAATCACAAGTTCGAACCCAGGCTGGGCAATTTAGTGACTTAGCGAGACCCTCTTACCATAAAAAATAAAAGAAAGGCTGGGAATGCAGCTCAGTGCGAAGGCCCTGGGATCAAGCTCCATTATGGGTTGAGGCGAGATTTTTTACAAAGCCAATAATGGCATTGTGAGGGCTCCACCCTCATGGGCTTGTCTAACCCTAATCTCCTCCCAGGGGCTTCACCTCCAAATATCATTAAGGTAAGAATTGGGGCATCAGCTTTTCAACACATGAACTTTGGGGGAAACACATTCAAACCATAGCGGCAGAAATGGTCTGTAATCTATGCATTTCCTTCGACGAAGTTCCAGGATTTACACTCAGGGTAAAGTGTCAGGGTGTCAGTGTTTTTGGCGGTGGTGGCACCGTCTCACCGGTGTCCGCTGTCTCTAGATCATGGGCCAGGTCAAGATCGCTCTTTCGACAGTACCAATATTTCCTGTATAGTTTTGCGTTATCTCCTGCTAAATTAAATCTAGCCAACCGATATTTATTTTAGGATTAGGAAATCCTGAACAGAGTTCAATGTTTAAGAATATATACATACCTGCAAAGTATACACATACACAGTTCAGACATATTACATGTATGAATATGCATCCATTTGTAAATTGTTTCCTCACAAAGTTTCTTAATGCCTTTATATACACATTTATACTGTGGGTTTCTGAGAGGGGAACCTTTATCAAGCAGCATTTGAGGAAGCGCTAAGGAGAACACATGCTGTGGTACTCTGTGGAAATAAATCTTCAGGAGTCCATGTACTGGGTAGATGATATCACCTCTGAGTTCCCTCTAAATGCTGAGGCTACCGACTGGTCATTTAAGTTCAACTCGGTTGAAATCAAATTCTTTGGAAAACATCTTTCTAGGAACACTTTCGTTTTGTTAAATTAAGACCCAGTCGTGTAACAGGCTCTGATTTGTATTGCAGGATGGCTGACTTCAGGCTGGGGAAACTGAGGCAATTGTGTTGGCTTTGGAAAGGAGCAAGATGAGAAACTGAAAAGCACTCCCATCTCAGGAAGTAATCTGGAAAGACATCTGGATGTTTACTGCCTTGACATTGTGTGATCACCACGGTTGGTCAATGGGACAGAGAATTTACCCAAATAATGAACTATTTATGTCCTCCTCCCTGCCCCCGGTTAGGTGCCACCTAGACTGCTATGTAGCTAGTAGTTTTCTCATTATTTTTCTCTAGAGCCAATTATATACGGGTGAAATGAAGACTTCTGTGCACACACTTGATACTAACTCTCAAAATTCAGCCTTTGCTTTTTTGTGAGGATATTTCAATTCTGTGTACTTTTTGGATGGGACCAGTGCTTAATGTTTTCTTGGGGGACAAGGAAGTTTTTCAGACCTGGAATGCAGCGGCTCTTCTAGTGAAGATTACCTGCAAGGAGAAGCTGTTTACGTTGTTCCTGCTGCACAGTTGCTATGATGTATAGTGAGTTACATGTATCTGTCACTGAAGTCTTACTAACTCTGAGTCAATAAGGGGCTATGAATGTGCCCTAATATTTATAATAGCCGTGGGACAAAATTAACTACACTTTCCCCAACTGACTGCATACTCTGTCTTCTTTAGATTCCTGAAATAGGAATGGCAATTGAAAAATTTGTTTTGGAGAATAAAATTTAGTAGAAAAATCACTGAACAAACCACTAGGTGAAATGCAAAATGACTGCCAGTTTTTAAAAGTCCAAAGTAATTCTAAAGTTTGTTAAAAAAACTTTTGGTTCTGAAAGATAACTCTTGTACTCTTCCTAATAAATTGCCATCCATAAGTAGACTATTCATTAAAAGAAAGCCATCATAAATCACCTTTACTATTTCACTTAAACTATTTTCCTTTGACCCAGAATATCTAGATGTGGGTGGATTTCTTAAATTGTTAGAGAGAGAACTTGATTCAAGATGTCCCAAATAGAAGCCAGGTGTTCTCAGTGGACACTTGTAATCCCCAGCACTTAAGAGGCTGAGGCAGGAGGATCGCCTCAAGTTCAAGGCCAGCCTGGGCTACTAGAAAGACCCTGCCTCAAAAAACCAAATAAAGAAAAAAAAAAAAAAAGCTGCTGAAGGAGATAGAATTGAGCCTGTGGGTGAGGTGAACAATTTCTACATGTGACCTGTCAGCAACTGTTACACAGAGGTACATGGTCCCCATATTACAAGGCTATTTTTTGTGCATAGTCCATGCAAAACTGATTGTTCTTGTGGCAGACACTTTTTCCCTCTTTCCCTCACTGTGGACACTTGCTGAGTTCTGGACAGGTTCTGTGCAAAAGGCACAAAGACGGGTGGGATTGGTCTCCGCCTGGGGAATGGAGAGCATGGGGACACCAAGGCAGGTGGTTCCCAGGATGTAAATCCGGCTGTGATGAAGCTAGAACCCACCGGCTGTACAGACCTCCCGGGCAAACTGCCACCCTCTGAGATGAAATACCTGTTAACAAAACTGAAAACAAAATGGTAACTTAAGCACAGGAACCCTTTGTTGTGTTATTATTATTATTTTTAAAGGAAGTAAATTCAGGAAGAAACCTGTTAATGTGGGACTGTTCTTTTTCTTCTCAAAGGAATTATTTCACTTCACACTTAAATTGCATATTTTTGTGTTTTCATATATAGGAAGAGTTTCATATTGTCAATCTTCCTATGACAAAGATACTAAATGTACCCTAAGTAAAAAATAAACACAAAAGAAACCAAACATGTATATAAAGTAGGTGTGCATATTGTGTGGGTATACACAAACACAAACACACAACTATTATTAGTTTGTGGAAGAGGAACTCAAATCCATAAGGAAACTGCATGGTAATTTTTATTACATCATTTTCTCATAACCAATGGTGATTCTGATGTCTCTCGTCTATCAGTTTCCCATAATTAGTAAAATAAACACAACAGGCAAACCCATGAAGGCGCAAAACCATCACCACGGATGTTTCCTCCAGACCTTTGTTTTGTAGGTCTATCACTGTTGCCTTTAAAGTCAAAACCAAAACCAAGCGAGCATTAGGTATGAGGCCAGGGTTTATTAGATGCATCATCCGTCGAGTCTTCACAGAAGGATGTACACGTTGGAATGAAGCGTGTGTAGATCTGCCCGAAGCAGAGCGGCCCTCAGCGACGGCTGCCCTCTCAGACAATACTGTCCCCAGTTTCCACAGTAACAGCACCTCCCGGGGAGGAGTCTGCTGTTTAACTGAGGGGAGAACTCCTACAGAAGGGTGCACTAAATTGTTCCTGGTAGTAAGAAGCTTAAGTATCCCTAAGATAAACACAACGACTTTGCCAAAATTAATGACTCCCAGATTAGAATGGCTGAGGAGTTAAATTCAGTCAAATCATATTACCAAATCAAACCTTTGGCCTGCAATTCATAACCACATTTTTTCCCCCACTACTGGGAACATAAACTTGCCTTCACACTGAGCTATATCCCCATCCCTTCTTTGTTCTATTTTTTATTTTGAGACACGGTCTTGCCAAGATGCCCAGACTGGGCCTGAATTTGCCGTCCTCCTGCGGACGCTGCAGCATGCTGGGAGGACAGGTGTGCACCACCGCGCCTGCCTACAGCACCGCTGTGCGCTCTTTGCCGCGGGGCTCGTGAGATGCTGGGCACTCTGGGCTCATCGCTCTGAACCTCGTTTCTTCATCTGAAAGAAACTCACTTCACCACCTTCCCCTGCTACCTTGGAGTCACTGCAATGAGCAAGACAGGGCTGGGGGGTAGCTCGGTAGTAGCGCACTTGCCTAAGGTGCAAGGCCCTGAGTTTAATCCCCAGTATTGCAAAAAGAGAAAAAACAATTCCTTAATAAAGCATTCAGGATTACTTTATTGTTCTTATTTTGTTTTGTTTTTGGTACCGGGGATCGAACTCGGGTCCTTGAGCTTGCGAGGCAGGCGCAGGAACCGCCGAGCTAAATCCCCAGCCCTCAGCATTACTTTAAAAAGCAAGATCAAGCCAGGAAACACATTAAACGTTATCTGTAAACATCTTATAGGTTGAGAGCTGGGCAGGATGGTGCAGGCCTATCATAACGGCACTCTGGGAGGCTGAAGAAGGAAGGTTGCCAGTTCAAGTCCCAACTGGGCAACTTAAAACCTGTCTCAAAAAAAAAAAAGGAACAAAGAGCAAAAAGGGTTGGGGATGTAGCTCACTGTGAAGGCCCTGAGTTCAATACCCAGTACAAAAATTTAAAAATAGAAACAAAAACCACAAATTAATATTATTTTGCAATTCAAGAGGGTTTTCTTTGAAAATTGTTGATTCCAGAATTTCTTTTTGGCGGTGATGAGACAGGGTCTCGCCATGCAGTTCAGGCTGGCCTTGAACTCACCATGTAGCCCAGGCTGGCCTTGAATTTGTGGCAGTCTTCCTGATTCAGGCTCCCTGGTCCGCCACCATACCCAGGAAGCATGCCAGACTTTGTATGTATTATGTAGCTATATTATTTGGAGGTTCTAAATTTTCTCTCAAACATTCAAACAACGAAGTAGAATAAAAATATTCAAAACAGATTGTGTTACTCCAGTTTTTGTTAATCCTATATGTGTATAGGATTAGTTCTGATAGTTTTTTAACACTGGCTATTCTTGCTCTGTTTGAAAATAGGCAAGATTAAGAAACCAAAAGGGACATGCATAAAACTCTGGGTTCCATCCCCAGCACTGCAAAAAATAAACACTCCAAATAGGTAGAATGTAAATGAGTTATGAATTTGGAAAAAAAATTCCACATATTGGGTACATGTAAATATACTAAATGATAAATATGCTTTAAAAAAAACCAGTGAATAAAACTGGACATGGTGGCATGTGCCTGTAGTACCAGCTACCCAGGAGGATGAGGCAGGAGGATCACTGAAGTCCAGGAGTCCTAGGACAGCCCAAACAACAAGGAAGTCCCCATCTGAAAAAGAAAAAAGACTAGATAGGAGAATTTAGTTTACTATGGGAGCCAGGAGGAAAACAAAATTAACTTTTAAAATAAAAAGTCTACCATTTGTTTGACAACTGAAATGCATTTAGAATGAAGGCAGGTGGATAAATATAGGAATCAACTTGGCTTTTGAAGGTTTACCAGAAAATAGCTTCTCCAGACTACATCCAAGCCTGCAGGCTAAAGCCTGAGAGCTCTGGCACCTCCACAGAAATGGTTATCTTTTTTTCTCATCTTTTGTCATGCTGGGAATTATATTCATGCTGGAAATTGTGTTCATTCAGAATCTAAGTGGCATGCAGTTCATCCATAAGAGCACAGGAAAGAGCCACTCAGAGCACTCGGAAGGCAACGGTAACACTTTTAAAATGCCAAGCAAAAAAGAGAGAAGGAAAATTTCTGGATGAAGAGACATTTAATAAAATATGGCAACTAAATGTGATGTTACAAAGCTTGGTTGGGTTCTGTTTCAAAAACTAAAGCACACATTTTAAGGGCAACTAGGGAAATTTAAATGTGGACTTCATACTCTGATATTGCATGAATGCTAATTCACTTCAGTGTGGTAACCATTTTATAGTTATGGAGATGAATGTATTTTTAGGAGAAGCCTGCTGAAGTATTTAGACAAGTATTAATATCTGCCAAATGGTCCAGTACAAACAAACAGCCAGGCATGGTGGTCCGCACCTATAATCCCAGTACTCTGGGAGGCTGAGGCAGGAGGATGACAAGGTTTGAGACCAACCTAGGCCATTTAGCAAGACCTTGTCTCAAAAAATAAAAAGGAGACTTGGAGGCTGAAGTTTCCTGGCCCGGTCAGTTCTAAGAAGCAGAAAATGAAGGCCTACCAGCCAAGCAATGTTTGTAAGAAACAACCTGACTCTATGAGAGCAGAGTGCTACACTCTTTAAGTCCAAAACATAAAAATAAAAATAAAAAATTTTATAAAATCCTAGAGTGTAAGTGGCCACCAAGATGTTAAAGGCTAACTGAATTTAACTCAAATTGAGGATCCTAAGAAAATTTTCACCTGGCCTAGATACTGTCCTGGCTCCTTCCCTACGTGAACTTCTCACTATTTTGGGATAAAAGCTCAAAATTAATATGGATTTAAAACAAAAACCCAGGACATACGAGAAGGAGAAAAAAAAGACCGTTGAACAATGTCAAACAGAGAACAAAACTGCACAATTGATATGAAAACGGTTTCTCCAAAAATTAAACCAACCTAGCCAGGCATGGTGGTACATACCTGTGATCCCAGCACTTAGGAGGCTGGGACAGGACTGCCATGAGTTCGAGGCCAGCGTGAACTACACAGTGAGTTCAAGGCTCAACTATATACGTGCTTCAAAAAACCAACCAACCAAACAAAAAGAATTAAATCTACTTAATGAATTCCTGATCCACGAAAACCATGATAATAATAAATGCTTATTGTTGTTTTAGGGTATTCTGCTACACAAGAGAAAACTAATACAATATCCTACAGGGCAATTAAACCATAACCTTTGGAGTTATTTTAGACAGAAATAGTATGCATCTCTGCCATAGAGAAATCATTTACATGTTATCAGTTTTCAAGTTAGCACCTGAACCCTAATCTATAATGGCTTAAGCAAAAATATATTTCTCTGGAGAAAGGTCTCTCAACCTTTGTACTACCCACATTTTGGGCCTGTTAGTACTTAGTTGGGAGGGGAGCTGAACTGTGCATTGTGGGTATTCAACAGCACCTCTGGTTCCTGCCCACTAGGTGGCAGCAGAACTCCCTCTCCGGCCTCAAGTGACACACACTGCTCCTGGACACCCAAAGGATATGCAGCCATCATTCACCTTATTTCCAGGTTTTGGATCACTTTTCTCAGTAATTCTTTCTCAAAAAAATATAAGGTGAAGGCAGTTCTACCTGGTTGTTAAGGTAGATATTAGAACAAAACCCCAAATCTTCTTAAATATCAAAATAAATGCAAAGAGGAGAGTAAAGAGACTCTACGTGAAAGACTTTAAAGTTATAAAAACAAGCTGGGCATCGTGGCGCAAGTAAGCCCAACAGGAATCACTGCAAGTTCAAGGCCAGCCTGGGATATACGGTGAGACCCTGTCTCAAAACGAAAAAAAAGTTAGAAAAATAAAATATCTACCATTTAAATGGGCTAAACTTATCTACCAAAAGGTTCTCAGAGTGATAAACCTAAAACCCAGTTCTGGGACATAATAAAAGATAACAAAGATATAGCAGGAAAATGCAGACAAAAATGAAACATTGGTCGTTATGATAATATAACACGACATTAAAGATAAAATTAAAAACAAAAAGCACAAAAGGGGACAAAGGCAGGTCTATTTTAATGCTAACAAACACAGTTCACAAATAAAGTCATGAATATTTTGCATCAAGTTAAACAGCATCATGTTTTATAGAACAAAAAGTATAGGAGGATAAATACACAAAAATACCCTAATGATATAAGACATCTACTTTCATCTCACTCAGCTCACGATGTAACAAAAAATGCGGCACCAGACCTGCCTAGTCCAATATGGCAGCCACTGGCTCCAGGAGGTCTGAGTGGAATGACTAGTGAAGTGTGGCGAGTCCACACTGACATGCGCTCCACGTACAAAACATGCCAGATTTCAACAACTTAGTACAAAACAAGGAAAATATGTCAATAATTTTGTATTGATTACATGCTGCAATAACATATTTGATATAAGTGAAATAAAATTTTACTTTTTTACTTTCTTCATATGCCGACTTTAAACATTTAAACTTAAAACTGCATATGTGGGTTCTATTATATTTTAATTGGACAGTGATGTTGCTGTAGAAAAACTAAATAACAAAGCAGATTCACATAATTATAACAGCTAACACATACAGAGTTTCACTCCAGATATTATTCTAAATGTTTTGCACTTATTGACCTCTCAACAGCTGTAAGAGGTAGACGCTATCGGTACAGCTGTTTTACAGATGAGAAACTGAGGCACAGAGAAGTTAACTAATTTGCATAAGATCACAGTAGTGAGTCTGGGATTTGGCTCCCATCTGTCTGGCAGCAGAGTCTATGCTGTAAACCACACGCATCTCGTTTATAATTGATAAACACACGCATTGAACTCTCAGCTGAGAGAAACATACGTCTCCTCTTCCATCATCTTCAATGGAACATTTCACATAAAAACATCACTACATTTACAAAATTGGAAATACTGATAAAGTCATTTCATAATGCTGTAAAATCAGAACTTAACTGCAAAACAAGAAAATCGAAGTACCCCCAAATCCAGAAATTAAACAAATAAAAACACCCAAAACCTACTTCCTCTAAACCTTTCAAGCAACTCTTGAATCAGAGAGGAAGTTGAAGCCGAATAATGCACAGCAAATGATCATGACAAGACTGTATAAACTAGCTATAGGACACAGTATAAGTATGACTCAGAACAAATTACAATTTTTCCCCTGTGCCTGGCCAGGAAAGTTATAATCTTAATACCCTAACAGACAAGAAAGAATCTACTTTGGGTACTTTGCTCAAATCGAGACAAAGGCAGGAGAAAAGGGAGGGAGAGAAGAAAGTAGGCAGGCAAGCAAGTTAAAGTGGATATTTTCTAGGGAAATAGAGTATACAAAAACTGACCTAAGAATACAGGGCAGTGGTAGCGAACCTACTCTAAAAGGTTTGCCATCCCCGGTACAGGGCTAGGATGGGTACAGCTCAATGGTAGAGCACTTTTCCCTAGCATGAATGAGTCCCCAGGTTCAATCCTCAGTACTAATAAAAAAATTAAAAAGTTAAAGAAACTCACACTGGTTGTGGTGGCATAGGCCCATAATCCCAGCACTATGCGAGGCTGAGGCAAGAGGATCACAAATTTGTGTCCAGACTGGGCAACTTAGGAACTTAACCACACTTTATCTCAAAATAAAAAAAGGGTTGGAGAGATAGCTCAATGTGAAGGCCCTGGGTTCATTCTCCAGTACTGGAAAAAAAGTTATGTATGTATGTATATATATATATATATATGGCTAGGGGTGTAGCTCAGTGGAAGATTGCTGCCTAACATGTGTGAGAGGCCCTTGATTCAATTCTCAGCATTGCAAAAATGAAACAAAAAATAAAATGAATATAAAGTGTCACTGAAGAGATGCTGTTCAAAATTATCACC